TTTGATAGTCACCATCCGGACATACATACACACACATATACACCTAACATATTCATACAATGCCAACGGCATATGCAGATGAATTATCTGATGGAAGAGGTGCTTCTGTTTTATTAAAAATTCTTAAAAAGTAAGTATCATTTGAAAGTAATACTGAATGTTCCCCCCCCCTTACAAAAGGAGTTAAAGGAGTTAACAGTTATGTATATATTCATCGTTTTATTTGTTTAGTTAGTTAGTTCCAGATAGAGACAGATTTCTACCTCAGACAGTGAAAGATGGTTGAGTGATTTCGTGAATTAGTTGAATTTAGACATTAACACCGTTGGATGCCAGTCAGCTTAATAGTCTAAAGGTTCAGCGTTCGTACGTGAGACCGAAGGTCATGGACTCGAGTCCCTTTGCTGCAGGATCGTGAATGCGCACTGTTGAAGAATCGCACAATAGGACGAAACGGCCAGTACTTCCAGGTTTCCAATGGTGATCTAGCACCGACCGATTCGTGTTCTCAACCAAAAACAAAAATAAATGAATGAAAGTATGAAAAATAATGGAAGAATTAGTTGAGAAAAACGCAACGAGAAAGGTTTTTTTCATTTGAGTTATTTCCTCTCGCTTATATAAAGAAAGGAAAAGAAAATAGCTGAAGGATAACTATTAGATTCTATTCTGAGCTATGTCTGATAATGTCTCAAAACACTGAGTTGCACTAGCTCTATAACATCAACCAGAAAGTTGTGAAGAACTGAAAGATCTCAGTCCTACATAACTTTATCTCATAACCCAGGAATGTGTAATGAACTGACTACTGCCCTCTTTTTAACTAATCCCCAGCCTCAGCGAATAACGCACGATGTGGAATTCGCTGCAATGACATTCGTAGCATATATCTAAGTGACCGAAGTCGGTGTTTCAGTTCAATTATCATCACTGTGCGTTACCGAATCCTCGTATTAGTAACATTGTCACTGAATGTTAGCAAACCTTCTAGAAATAGCTGCGATCTAAGTCCCAAAGTGAACATCAACTCTAAGACGCAGGTACATCCAGCTGACGAGTCCCAAATAGGACGAAACGCGCGTCAAACTGGATTCCACCGCTAGCCACTATCCATTTTCGCTTATAAACAAACAGATAACTTGTTTAAATCTGTAGATCACAGGAACAGGTAGGTCAGACATTCAAACACGCCACCCATGGTTTAGACTTAACCAAAACAAAAATTACACTCTCAGACTGTAAATATCTTTTGCTGGTAAAAGTCAATAAACGTATAATCATAATATATTTAGATGAAGTTTTGTTCTCTCAGCTGGATGGTTTGGTCATGGAGCTTTCATCGTCCTTCTGAACGACATCAACAGCACTTCGACCAGAAGTTTGTGCTGATGATGTCTTTCAAGAGGACGATAAAAGCTCCACAATCAAATCATACATCTCAGAGGACAAAACTCCATCAAAATCATCTACCTGAGCTGTAAGTCTTCTCCACCATCTTATAATCAATTTAGACAATCTACAAAAATGTCATCCTAATCATTATCAGAATCTCTATGTTATCAGTTTATCATAGTAACAATAAAGATTAATCGATTCAAAAAACGTTTTTTTTGTATCCTTTTTTAATTCATCAATGATACCTTTAAAATTAAGCTCATTGTATAAGATCAATACAGAATACTGTTATGGTGTGTGTGAGAGTGAGTGTGTGTAAGTGTGTGAGTGAGTGAGTGAGTGAATGAGTGAGTGAGTGAGTGAGTGAGTGAGTGAGTGAGTGAGTGAGTTAGTGAGTGATTGAGTGAGTGAGTGATTGAGTGAGTGAGTGATTGAGTGAGTGGGTATACCTAGTTATTAGTGTAGGCAGTTTAGTTACATGACTATAGAAAATGAATGACATATGTATATGAGGGTTATTTAACTGATTAGTTCATACATTTTCAAGTGTATTGATTGATAGTCATTTTTAGTAGTATGTACTATAAGTTTTCTAATCATTTCAGTATTAAATTTGATGACATATGTGAATATTTCATTTTATTATGAGATTCTAAAGCTAGATTAGCTAGTTGAAGATTGAGGATTTGATTCTATGAAAGTACGTCCGAATGCCCTGATACGTCTGAGAGTGGGGAAAGTCGGCTCTCCTTCTCAAAATACTCTCACATGACCACGTGTAAAGAACCACTGTCAGGGAAGTCTTAATCACTGCCTCCTCGTAGCAAGGGTAGTGTTTACGAAAATGAGGGGACGACAAGAGAATGTCCGACGCTTCAACCGTGTTGGTGAAAACGGAGAGTCCATCTAGGGTAGTTGTCAAACCCTGATACCAAACCAATGGTACGAGTGAACTCGAGAATCCTGTAGGAACAACTGTTGTATGAATCAATTAATAATCACTGGTTACCATGAGACTGTATCTACTAATGTTGTTCCACTGCTTTTTGGTTTAGACTTTTATTTTTCAAGGCTCCGGACGTGGCTCCATGAGAAAACCACCTGGTTTGGTCTGGGTACGTAGAAAGTATTTCAGTCCTTACACAAATCGAATGATTTATGTCACGCCTATCTAAATGGTGCCTTCTTGTACCAATATTTCTGTGTTTAAATAAATCCTAGAAAAAACATAAAATACCCCTCTATTTACAATTTGATAACACACTAACAAAACAACAATCATCATGTGAATATAGGTTTGTATAAAGATAACTTATTCGACGACTTTTTTCGACATTCTAATTCATACAGTTTAGAAATAAGGGGTTCTACTTATAGGTCCTGTGTTCAAATCTCGCTCGCGAGGCGGGATCGTGGATGCGCACCGCCACTGAGGAGTCCCATAAAAGGACGAAACCGCCGTCCAGTGTTCCCAGGTTTTCCATGATGGTCTAACTTCAATTGACTCATGATTTCAACTATTATATTTCAAGACTGATATGTCCTTAAATTGTAGCATGATTATTTATTTAGCGATTCATAAACCCTGTCATGTCCCGTGCGGATTTAGAAATCGTAACTTTCGAGGACTATTTATTGATCAATGTGATATGTATATTTCTTATTGTATAATTGTTAAGTAACTAAACTATTCATATTCGTGCCCGTCTTATTATAAGCTTCATTTTGACTCTTGGACTATTATTATACGATTTACCATTCCTGAGCTATACCCAGTCTATTGATTACTGTTCCCCCTATCCACAGCCACATTTGGCTAAATCTGATACAAATGTTATTTTCTACTTTATGGCACGATGTGGTCTATTTGTTTAATATATAAGCCCAGTATGATTGAGAATAATGATTCATATTACAGAGGCTGTTATTAGTGTTCTGGACTTAATTGGCTGGGCTAGGCAGAAAGCAGGACTGATATGTATTCAAGACTGGTCATACGGCTTTTGTGTACCACTGCTCCGATCGATAATTCACTCCTCTCTGATTGGCGGGATCATAACATCATATATTAAACATGGCACGTACGTACACACTCATTATAATAAACCCAAAGGTCTTAGATTGCTGATCAATAAAATTGTTACAGTTAACTACTCTTTTGACTAAACCGGTAAAACACTTTACGCTAAAGACATCGCGAGTTGTCAAGTGTAAACAAAATGCGATGTTCTCCAGCAGCTTTGACTATTAAATATTGTTTGGGTAACTTTCGAGAAGCATGTCAGAGCCTCCAGAGATCCTAAAGGAGCTGAAGAGTTTACATCCAATCAGAACCTGATGTAATTTTCTAGAATATCAAAGTGATATGTTACGAATAAACGTTAACCTAATTTGCCTCCTTCTAGATTGATTGAATCATAATGATGTTATAACTAAGGCTCATATCCATAAACGCCCATGATTTTCAGTACATTTGTGATTCTTACCCAACAATCACTTCTCCTGTTTTGTCCTAACTTCTGATTTTTTTAAGTGTGGGTTTCTATGCGTTTGAGTCCTGTTAGTTGTATATCATATTCTACCTTAATCAGGGGATGAACGTAACAAATATGATCTACATAGATTGATAACATTCTTAATTTGCCAGTTAGTCATTCAAACACAATGTAGAGCTTAGCACATGTGCACATTGGTTTAAGTTATTATACCCTATTAGGACACAGTGAAATGAAATTGTCGGGGTGAATCCCAGAGTAGTAGAGTGAGTAACATGAGATTATAAATTTGTGAGGGATTTAGATGAAGAAAAAGTGTGAATATACCTGCCGAATTGCGAACAAATATAGGATATAACACCTAAAATCTCCTACCGCTGGTTATGATAATCACACTGAGCCTAACTGTGTAGTCTGCACCTACCAAAATGGCTCCGTCCAGTTGTCAGTGCCTTCATGGACTTAGTTTTCCCGACCCTCGATTTTGTTTCTACCTACTCTTATGCCAGTTAATATATGACCACAGGTGCTTTTGAAGTAGTTCAAACAGACTAAAGAGCACTAAGTCCTTCGTTATGAAGTTAGATTCAAAGTTTTAGATATGGTTAGCGTTTTTGTTTGCGTGTTGGTTTTCTACAAGATGGGGTCGCTAACCCCATACTCAACCCTTCTCCTTTACCCGGGCTTTGGACCGGCAGTAGCCTCCGGAGGAGCTACAGGTGGAGTTAAGATTTTAGATATAGACAGTTGATATAACTGAAGAGAGTTACATCAGAGTTGAAATACAAAGATTCTAACCTACTGAATCAATGCTATAACCATATAATAGTACCATCAAGATAGTTAGATGACTGTCTTTCAATAGTATAACACTAGGTTCATAGTAACACATATTTAATCTTATAGGACTGTAGACCTAAATAAAATCCTAGCTGGTTAGCATTATGGACTAGGTCGTACGACACTGTCGACAATCATCCAGTTAGTCGGAATACTGTCTATGAATAAAGAGCTGAACGCCATCGTCTCAGTGACTCTTAAGTCTAAGCCAACAATTTAGTTACATTTTATATACTATACAGTACCTTCTTTATTATTAATCCATTTCAGATGGAAAGGAAGTTTATACAAATTAGTATGGGTCGACTTATTGATCTACATTTCAGCTTATTATGTTTTAAATTTATCTTATCGGTTTGCAATGAATGATAAGCAAAAAATGTAAGTACCATTTCTTTTTTCTTTTCCTTTCTTTTATAAATTAATAATCATGATGAAAATCATCAAAGAAAGTACTGACTTACACCTGTTAGACCTTCGTGGAGGAGCATAGGCTGCACACTAGTATTTTTCGTCCAACCCTATCATCAAAGAAATGGGGCCACACTCGAAGCCTTCGACTTAAAAGTCTGATCCACAAGACAGCGGAGCGTCGTAAGGATATGCTGTTCCATGGTAGCTGATGGCCAACGATTGACTCATACTTCATTTCTTCCCTCAGGATACTGGAGCCTATGTGCACCATTAGTTTGGAATGAGGGTTTTCAAACTCCCCTAGGTGAACTTTCGCTGTTCATCAACCCGGTTAAAGAGCTGGACATTCGCTTTCTGTCTTCTCAATTTGGTAAACAACAGTAATGCCATGAGAAGGCAGTGAGTAGGACTTCCCTGGTAGAGGCTATATACGCGTGTCCATTTGAGAGCATTTCGAAAAGGAGAGCAGACTTTCCCCACTGTAGACAGTATCAGGGCATTTGGAGGCCTCAAAGAAAGAAAGTAGTATTGCTAAAATATGAAAAGTATGTGATGTCTTAAGATAGAAGTTAATCGATCGATGAGTGTACTTTAGATTGTGAAACCATGGAAGAGATTTTGTAATTAAGGTAAATGTTTTAAATAGTAACATGTTCTCTGAACTAGATGGTTTCATTGCATTTATCAACATAGGTAGCATACAGTACAATATATTACTGATATTGTAGTGAACAAAACACTGTGGGGACAATTGAATATAATCTAGCTAGCAATTACAGATTATCTCATTAAAATATGATAACCTTATAGCGAACAGTTGATCTGCAAAATAACAATTAATTGTCTCAATTTGATTGTTTCTTCTGCAAATATCTATCCATAATCTTCGATTATAATTTGAAGCGAAAGGTACTAGGTTCGAGTCCAAGAGTGAACATCAACAAGTCTGAGATGCAGGTACATCCAGCTGACGAGTCCCAGATAGGACGAAACGCGCCACTATCCGTCTTTTCTTATAATGCTTGTGAATTTAGGCTATATCGAGGCAGCAATGCGCACAGTATGCATATATGCCAATTAGAGACTGACCAGTTGCAGTTCTGAAACATCAATGGGAAGATTCAAACAAGCAGTACTAAGTGAATCCGATTATAATTGTTCATTCATTTTCGTGCCGATTGCGTACCGTTCCCGTTCTCTCCTTATCGATCTTTTACTAAGATACATTTAATGCCTGACCATTGTAATATACTACTTATGTGGATATCAGTAACCCACACCACAGTATAACATATTTTGCATTCATTTGAAAAGAAACATTTCTCGTTTGTCCATTTAGTTAGCCGTATTTGGAACATATTACAATTTTTCATAACAGAATGATTTTGTAAATATCTCTCTTCATTGAATCAATCTTTAGTATTCTTTACTAATATTAACCATAATATTCAGCTATAAATTCTAATCTTAATTCCTCACACTAACCTATTACTTACTTACTTACGCCTGTTACTCCTCATGAAGGAGCATAAGCCGCCCACCAGCATTCTCCATCCAACTCTGTCCTGAGCATTTCTTTCCAATTATTTCCAGTTAACATTCATCCTTTTCATATCTGTTTCCATTTCTCGGCGTAATGTGTTCTTTGGCCTTCCCTTTTCCACTTCCCTTTCGTATTCCAAATTAGGGATTGCCATGTAATGCACATTGGTGATTTTCTTAATGTATGTCCAATCCACTTCCAACATCTTTTCCTTGCTTCCCATCCATCTGGAAGATGGTTTTTCCTCTCCCATAAAACGCTGTTGCTGATAGTATCCGGTCAGTGATTGTTGAGCATTTCGCGTAAACAACTATTTATAAATACTTGTACCTTCATGACGATGTTTTCCACGTTTCAGCTCCGTACAGTAGAACTGTCTTGACGTTCGTATTGAAGATTCTCACTTTGAATTTAGTTGACAGTTGTTTTAAGTTCCAATAGGTTATTCAATTGTAGAAATGCTGCCTTTGCTTTGCCAATCTACACTAACCTATAACCCTCATTTAATCTTAGTAATTTGATGGACATCTTCAAGGACATGTTAACGTTGCTCAAAGGTCATCCATAACTTGTAGTCTTACCATTAGCTAGCATGTTTATCAAACACTTAATCATCTTTCTTATCTAATGTCAATCTTTCTATAGAATCTTTGAAGAAATTGTTGAATTCTGTATTAGAACTAAAGGTGATATACCTATATCATTTTTATTGGGATTTTTTGTATCCGGTATAATATCACGTTGGTATCAAATGTATTTATATATACCATGGATGAATCAAATTGCATTACAAATCGCCGTAAGTTATTTCTATATCAATGATTTTTGTTACATCCTTGAATCTGTCAACTCACTTTCAAGTCGAGGATAACTTGTCTAATGTAGATTAAGACCTTGAAGCGATAGGCTGGCACTGGCTTAACCTTGAGGCTAGTTATTATACGTGAGTTCGAAGTGAGGCAGAGACGAAAACTACTCTATCACCTGATTGGCTGACAGGTACGCCAGCGCGAGAGAGAAGACAAGACAACTGGAACACTACTCGCTTTATTCCAAAATCCGATCTGGTACTCGAACCCAGATTAGTGTAAAAAGATGCCCTGTTTAAACAGACTTTTCATACATTGACAGTTGAGAACATGGCAGATTGTAATGAGTTTGTTGTAAAATAGGTGCGATTGTTCAATACTTTGTTTAAGGTCATTTGAGCATTCAATAATTTTTCAACCAATAATAACCAACTATAACCATATGGATGATTTTGATGGAGTTCTATTCTCTGAGTTGGATGGTTTGATCGCGGAGCTTTCATTTTAGACTTTTACCCGAAGTTTGTGCTGATGTTGTTGTTCAGAAGAATGATGAAAGCTCCACCACCAAACCATCCAGCTCAGAGAATAAAAATGCATCAAACTAACAATTTTTATTAGAAGGGGGTTTTGTGGAGATTTTAGTAGTTTTATTATAGTTGAAATCATGAGTTAATTGAAGCTAGACTACCATGGAAAACCTGGATGGCCGTCTCGTCTTGCGGGTTGGGATCGTGGATGCGCACTGCCACTAAGGAGTCCCACAATAGGACGAAACAGCAGTTAAACAGTGCTTTCAGGTTTTCCATGTTGGTTTAGCTACAATTTACTGATGATCTTAACTATATAAAATTACTAAAATCTCCACAAAAACCCCTTCTGATAATAATCATATGTATTAAAGATTCCCATTGTTCTAATAATCATTGGCTCACTAGTGACTGGCTCCATTAGGTATTTCCTGGAGTTCTAGTGAGAAGCAGTAACCGATGGAGTTCAACTAAGTCTGTTGGGAGATACCAACTCACTGAAGACAATGGTGAATGGTTGCTCAGCTTCGTAGATTAGTTGAAGTTAGACATTGACACTGTTGGATGTCGGCCAGCTCAGTGGTCTATCGGTTAAGTGCTCTGGCGCGAAGCTTGTAGGTTCTGGTTTCGAATCTCATGAGGCGGGATCGTGAATGCGCACTGCTGAGGAGTCCCACAATAGAACGAAACGGCTGCACAGCACTTCCCTTTTTTCCATGGTGATCTAGCTTCAATTAACTCATGATCTCAACTATATAAGATTAAATTATCACCGATTTTCAAAAACTGCATGAAAAATAACGATTTAAATGTTTTTTCACATTTGAAACCATTAATTGATCTAAGCTAGACTGTAATGTAAAACCTGGAAGCACTGAGCGACTGTCTTATCCTAGTATGGGACTATTCATCATTGCGTACGCATGAATCAAACTCAGGACTTTCTGTCTCATGCATAAACGCCTAATCTCTAAACTACTGATCCGATATCCAACGGTGTTATTCTCTCATTTTAATCACTCCACAATCTGGAGTGACCTTTCATCTATTGCCTGCGTTGGATATCTGTCTCATACACAACATGGATTAGATTCCATTGATCAAGGCTTTTCACTAGGACTCCACGAGTTACATCTTGAAGCTAGTTACTAATGACCACATGATTATTGTCAGTATGGGAGATTTGTGAAGAGTGTCACATTTTCACAATCTCAAATATTCTTCACACTTCCTTCTGAATGAATAAAACAAGATGGCAAAATTTCTTTTAATGAGTATTATTCACGTTTTTGAATACCGTTGGATTGCTCCATCCCTGCCCTATAACATAACCCAAACTTTCATTCCCTAAATTATAGGAATGATAAACTATACTACTCATTAATATAGTTCAGTAGGATATGTTAAAACTATAGTAATACAATAGTTCTGTTTGTTCCAACTTGAATAAGTCCAAACTACATCCTCTTTCCTAACGAGAAACTATATCGTAAACAGAGATGGATGGTGGATAACACTGAAATGCTGAATGCGCGTTTCATCCTATTTGAGATGTATCAGCTAGATGTGCCCACGGATTCCACTGTTAGACACTATCCATCTCACTTTATAATGCTTTTAATCAAATGATAATATGAAGATCATCCTCATAGGATACATATATACCAAGAAGCAGCCCTCAACATCATTCAAAAGATTGAATCTACACCACCATGCAAAAACTTGTAAGCACTGGACAAACGTTTTATCTTAGTATGGCTAACCTCAGCAGTGCGCATTCAGGATCTCACCTCGGAAGATTTTCGTACCTAGAATCTATCAGTATCGCTGAAGAGTCCTATTATATAACATAACAGTTCTTTTTATTTCATATCTTTTCTTTCATTATAGTCATCTATTAATGCAAAAAGTGAAGAAGGTTCAAGAAAAATTCGTTTAACTATAATGCGTTATATGAATTTAGCATGGGTATTAATGATGAAACGTATATCTGATCAAATTGCATGTCGTTTTATTAAAAATGATAATATTGGTAGTTTACCAAGTGCATTAGGTCCTGTATTACCTAAACGTAAATCAACTAATCATAAACATTTAATAAGTAGAAATACATGTCAACCATGGTCAATTGATGCAAGTGAAGTTGTTCGTACATCACCATCTAAATCAATATTACAACAACAATTATCTCAATCACAATATCCAATACAAAATAAATTAGATAGTCCATTAAATAATATATTTATACAACCACAAACACCAAATTCATCTGATGTTCATACACCATTAGCACCATTAGCTACAGATGAAGAATTTGGTGCATTACCAGATGCATTTGAAGCAGCTGATGTTGTAGAATTAAGAGAGATGTTAAGAGCATTGAATCAAGATCAAAGTAAGTAATAAACTATTAATAATTTAATTTATATTCTTATTTAAAGTTGAGATCATGAATTAATTAAAAATAGACTACCTGGAAGAACTGTTTGACAGCTGTTTCGTCTTATTTTGAGACTCCTCAGTGGCAGTGAGCATCCATGATCCCGTCTCTTGAGATTTTCGAACCCAGGACATATCAGTCTTGCGCGCGAGCAGTTAACACTTTTTTTTCCTATTCCTATTCATTACTGTAGTTTTCTTTTCCTCTTTTTGTAAACGATCTATTATTACCTTATATTAGTTATCTAACATTCATAAGTATATCTTATTTTCAAGGCTATAGAGATCATGAATCACTTGAAGGTAGACCATTATGGAAAACCTGGACGCATTGTTTAACAGTCGTTTCGTCGGATTGTGAGACTCCTCAGTGACAGTGCTAATCCACGATCCCGTCTCGTGAGATTTTCGAACCCAGGACATATCAGTCTTGCGCGCGAGCAGTTAACGCTTCTTTCCTATTCCTATTCATTACTGTAGTTTTCTTTTCCTCTTTTTGTAAACGATCTACTATTATTTTCTTATATTAGTTATCCAACATTCATAAATTTTAATGTCAACTTGTAGTTAGGTATAGAGAACCAAACACTCGCTACGACTTCTACAGTCAATCTCCACTCAAGCCTACCTGTAATCCTAAGAGAATCGATATGCTTTCCGGTAGGTGACAAAATTTCAGTCAACCAGGATGGACTAGTTTCTTTTCAGATATTATGAGGACAGCTTGCTAGAAAGTGTTAAATAACACAAAAAATCTATATCCAAAGTTTTCTATCGATCAAGTCGAACAACTTAACAGCAATAACAAAAGTACACAAGATATCAAATCGATTATACCGGTGTATAGATCTGATCAACAGAATTCGATCAACATGAATATATCACAAGAGTTTAATCTCATGAGTCAAATGAAGTTAGACCACTATGGAAAACCTGAAAGCACTGAACGGACGTTTCGTCCTATTGTAGGACTCCTCAGGACACTGATAGGTTTTGGATTCGAATCTTGCGAGGCAGGATCGTGGATATGCACTACTGAGGAATCCCATACTAGAATGAAACGGCTGTTCAGTGCTTCCAGGTTTTCCATGGTTGTCTAGCTTCAATCGATTTATGATTTCAACTATAGAAAATTACTAAAATCTTCACAAAACCCCCCATTCTGATCTTCCTTTTTATTATTTTCAATAGAAGTGAAAAGTTCATTTGGTGTATTAATTACTGAAAAAGAAATTTCATCATTTGAACGTATAGCAGCTGATTGGTTTCGACGTACAAAAACTAATTATACACCAGAATATTGGGTACCTATACAATGGGCACAAAGAATAACATTAAAAGCATTACATAGTGGTTATATTGATGATCCTAAAGTAGCATTTTATACTGTTGAAGTATGTTTATTATTCTATTCTATTCTGTTCTATATGAAATCTTTAAAGTTAATTGTTAAATATTAACCTAAAGATCTTCTTGATCAATCCTGACGATAGATTTTGAGTGATCATCAGTAAGAAGTTAACAGTCTAGTCAATCAACATCTAAATAACGTTCATTCTTTTCAGTGTATATTACCTGTCAGCAACCACGATATCTCTGATTGAACCTTTTGTAACTTGTACGACGAAAGGTTTTACACTTATCAGAAACGCACTTGTTGAAATATCTAGATAGCAGGAACAGGTAGCCCATTTATTTAAGCTGGCTGCTTTTTAGTTATCAACAGCCAATGTACATTCTGGAACAGCATATCTACAATTGAAGAACAGCTGGAACTCAAAACAACTGTTTGTCAACTAACATCAAGATCAGAATTTTCAATACAAATGTCAAGACAGTTCTACTGTATGGGACGGAAACCTGGAGAAATACAAAAGCCATCATAAAGAAGATACAGCTGTTTATTACCAGTTATCTGCTCAAGATACTTCGGATCCGTTGGCCAGACACAATCAGAAACAACCTACTGTGGGAGAGAACAAACCAGATTCCAGCAGATGAAGAAATCAGGAAGAAGCGCTGGAATTGGATTGGGCACACCTTGAGGAAATCACCTAATTATGTCACAAGACAAGCTCTCACATGGAATCCTGAAGGTCAAAGGAGAAGAGGAAGACCAAAGAACACATTTCACCGAGAAATGGAGACAGACATGGGAAAAATTAACAACAATAGGATAGGATTATAAAGGAAGGCCCCTTAGAGAGTGAGTTAGAGAATGCTGGTCGGCGGCCTATGCTCCATTTGGAGTAACAGGAGTAAATAATAAAAATAAATAAATGATACACATTCCGAGTATGAAACATCATTATCTTCAAGGAACCTATTCGTTGAGATGTACAATGCTGCATAACAACTATAAATCAATCCACCGGCATATAATTAAATATGATCTTGTAAACAATAAGGAACCATTCAATTTTATGAACTATGCAATAAGAATCGATTCTTGACCCAAATCTCAAGCTCTTGCGGCTGTATTTTTAAGTTTGATGACCGTTTGACACTGTTAAAGATTCACATTCATATCACTTAGTATCTCGTTCGTCTTTCTATTGAAAGACGTTAAAAAAGAAACTAAATTATTTCGGGAAACAAGTCATGATTTAGTAACTATAGCCTTAGTTAATTATTTCCTAACCAAATATGATAACTCCCGACAAGTATGCAAACTAAATCTAGGTTAAATTCACTTGGTGTTGTTTACTTGTATCTTCCCATTGTCATCTAAGACTGCAATTGATCAGTCTCTTTTTGGCATATGTGCATCCAATAAGGACTGCCTTAATATTGCCTGAAGTCAAAAGCTTTATAAGCAAAGATGGATAGTGATTAGCAGTAGAATCCAGGACTCAGTAGCTAAGTCGATAAAGAAACGGCGCTTGAAGCGAAGGATACTGGGTTCGAGTCCCACAGTGAACATTAACTCTACGATGCAGGTACATTCAGCTGACGAGTCCCAAATAGGACGAAACGCACATCAAACTGGATTCCACTGCTAGCCACCGTCATCTATCTTTGCTTATAAATTTAGGTTAGCTTGGTAACTAACACTAAACATGTCACACTGAAATAAAAGAGAAAACTTTTTTTATTGAAACGAAACTAACAAATGGAACAGACTGTTGACCATTAAGTGTTAACAGATCTGTATAAAAAGATTCATATTAGTTGTAAACAGACATAACGAGTCCTATTGTAGTGAACGAGAACACAATTGGCGATAATCGAATGTATTTGAATACAAAACTATAGAACATCTTAGTAAAATCTGAGAATCATACAGTAAATACTTCATTTGAGAAATGCCAATCAATCATATCAGACTTCAATGCTCCTTCGTTTCCACACCAATCATCTCTGTTCTCGTCCTCTTCTTTGATCTTCTTGATCTTCTGTCTTCAGGCATCTCATTGTCGGTTGATGATATATACTACTTATATCTGTCGATATCAATAGCACACACCACAGTAAAAAAAGAACGGTGAAGATGTAAACGATACGTATTTTCCAATACCTTTTGCCTCTAGTGCACGATTTCTTTTTTTCGATTTACCAACTGATAGTTTATTGTAAGAAAAAAACATAAATCAATTTCAGTTTCTGTTATAACGTGTTTCTTGAGTGCTCTGTTTAATATATGACGTGACGATACCGCCAATTGGAGAGCAGTGATTTATCAATCGGAACCTGTCGGTCCTGATTTCTGCCTAACCTAGCCAATTAAGTCCAGAACACCAATAACAGCCTCTGCGGTTTGAACCATTATGTTTCAAACATACTGAGTTTATATACCAATCAAACAGATCACATCGTATCATAAAAAGGAGGACAACATTTGTCGCGGCCCGAATAGCTCAGTGGTAACGTATCTTACTGTGAAGCTCAGTGACACGGAATAGAATCCGTCAGCAAGCACCAGTTCCCTCAAGATTACAGGTACACCTTGCTGACGAGTGCCAAGTAGCACAAAACCTGGGTCCAGGGTTTCCTGTTGACCACCTCCAACCACGATCTTAGGACAACATTTGTACAAGACTCAGCTAAATGTGGCTGTGAACAGGGGGGAACAGTAATTAATGGATTGGGCATAACTCAGGAATGGTAAATCATACAGTAATAGTCTATGGGTCAAAATAAAGCTTATGATAAGACGGAAACGAATTTGAATAGTTTAGTTACTTTACAATTATACGATAGGAAATATACACATCACATTGGTCCATAAACAGTCCTCAACAGTTACTACTCATAACTCTCTTCGGGATATAACAGTTTCATTGAATTCATGGTCTCTAAGACGGTATTTGACGAATCTACACATTAATCAGATTCTCACTTGAATGATCTAAGCTTCTACATAACAAATATGAATCTACGATCCCATTCTTAGTAACTAATGTCAAGTTGCATAGTTAGCATCATCTCTTACCCCTTTATAGCTATACTAGTAGTTAACAATCAGTAGTATTCGTTTGCATATTTAACCAATCTTTCTTTTCTTTCTTATTTTATAGAATATTGGTAGAGTTAGACAAAGTATGCAGAATTTACAAGTTTACAGTAGTATTATGATTCCATTAGTGTATACTCAAGTAAGTTTGAACTCTGTTTGAAGATATACAGTAAATTTGAGAGGATTCTAATTCAGCGACTCATTAGTATCCAATTGAGGTGTGTAAACTATGTGATACAAGCTCAGAGATCTAAAGGTCAAGCTGCAGCCACGAAGCTTGAAAGTCATGGGTTCCAGTTCCAACGGGGTCGCAGATGTACATTAATGGGGGTTGTCCTATACTACGAAGATACAACTGATCAGTGATCCAGCGTTTTCAATAGTTTTTTAACTAAGATCAATCCATGTTGCTAACTATAAGACATAAAGCATAATTAAGTCCAGTCTCGGGGAACTATCAGTTATCAAACTAACGCATTATACAATAGAATAGAATAGAGTATTATAAACTATATTAGCAACTGTGTATCATTGTTAGTCTACGATTGTATAGAACTTTAATGAGCAGAGATGGTTGATGAAAGCACTTTTTATCCTGTTCAGAACTGATCAGCTGGATGTAACTGCGGCACAGAGTTTATATTCATTCCGAGTCTTCAACGCAGTACCGTTCATTTCAAATAGTTTCAAATAACTAATGGTTTATGCAATGGGAAGCTTAACGAATCAACAGACTGTTATTCTGCTTCCAATTGACAAACACTAATATATTTTGGAACAATTCTCTAAGTATTATAAGCAAAAATGGATAGTGGCTAGCAGTGGAATTCAGTTTCGTCCTATTTGGGACTCATCAGCTGGATGTATCTGCATCTCAGACTTGTTGATGTTCACGTTTGGACTCGAACCTAGTACTGTTCGATTCAAACGCCATCGCATTATCCATTCAGTTACTGAGTCCTGTATGTCTTTGATTGAGATCACAAACCGATTGATGATAAACCACCATTGAAGATCTGTAACTACCGAACAGTCGTTTCATCTTGTGTGACTCCTGCTTGCAGGATTCGAACCCAGGGTCTTCGGTCTTGCACACAAACGCTTGACCTCTAGACTATTGAACTGACCCGCATCCAGTAGTAATTAAGGTCTAACTTCATCCAATCTACAAAATTGCGCAACTATCTTCGATGGTACTGCGATAGATACCTATATCTACCAGACACAGATTGTATGTCATATAACTAATCATTTTATATCGTATCTCTTCAATCAGTTCCTTTCATAGATTGATTCTCCTACTTTTTCTTTTCTTTATAGGTTGTAATTATAGCAGTTTATAGTTATTTTATGTGTCAAATATTCGCTTGCCAATTTGTTCAACATCGTAATCAAAATGGTCAACATAATGTAGATTTATATGTACCGATTTTTAGTATATTCTCTTTCTTATTTCTTATGGGTTGGTTAAAGGTAACAATGATTGATTTGATTTTTTTTGTAATTTATATGTAACATTTAATTTGATAACAGTCAATTTCCTGATAAGTCTTGTTGATTGAACGTTATATTCGGTTACTAAGCTAGTATTGTAACCCCCCCCCCAGTCAAGCTAAATCGACATAGCAACCTGGTCCACCAGGGTGTTTGGTACCTGAGTGGTTACGCCACAGGATTGAACTGAGCTGTTTAGATTGTAGCGTTGAAGCTTTTATAGTGTTTGGCTCTCCTATAAGGCGGGATTGAGCTGTACTGCTTGGGCTAAGCCTGGGTAGTGTCTGGCTCTCTTGTTAAACGGGATTGAGCTGTACTGTTTGGGTTGCCGCTTGAAGGTCTGGTTCTCTTGAAAAGCAGTTCAAGATTACCCTGGCCCATAAGAGTATATTATATAACTTATAACTGGAATACGAGAGAAAAGGTGAGAAATATGTGAGAAGTACTTTACTCCAAAGGTTTATTCATATACAGAAAATATAGGGGTTTTGATAGTATTTTAGAAGTCTTTGGGTTTTTCCTGAAAATTCCGGAAAGCTACTTAACATAGTAGCAGTGTAATAAGCAGTCAATCAGAAACTCTACATGTGACTTTTCACTTTTGTGATGTTTCTAGCAAAACGTCTAGTCAAAAGCTGGTTGAATAAAAATGCTTCTTAGTGTATCCTGAGCCTCTTTTGTCTTTTGACATAAGTTTTCTGGATCACTCCAATACTTACATATGAACTACTCATCATTATGATTAGAATAAAATGGGGTTTGTGGAGATTGTAGTATTTTCCTAGTTGAATTCATTAAAGAGGAGTCCACTAGTAGGACGAAACAGCCGTTCAGTGCTCCCAAATTTCCAAAGGTGATCTAGCTTAGATCAAGTTATGAATTCAACTATTAAAATTGCTACAATCTCCATAAACTCCCATTCTGATAATAATCATTTGTTCACTAGTAACTAGCTTCAAGTGAGAAATCGTGACCAGGGAAGTTTGATTTGTATCTGTTGTGAGTCAGTTAGTCACTGGAAACAACGAAGAGTGCTCGCGCAATATCGTGGCTTGATTGAATTTAGACATTAATACCGTTGGTTTCCAGCTCAGTAGTCTAAAGGTTAAACGTTCGAGCGCGAGACCGAATGTTCTGGGTTCGAGTTCCTTTGGTGAGAAATCGTGGATGAGCACTGCTCAGAAGTCTCATAACAGAACGAACTGACCACCAATTGCTTTCAGGTGTTCAATGGTGATCTAGTTTAGATCGACTTCTGAATTCAACTATTGGAATAAAACGAACGGTTGAAAGACAACCATATACCACTTCCACTTTTAAGACCTGATCATATTCAGTTGACTGATGACTTTATGAAAAAAAGTGGTATCATATTTTAGTTCAATTTTATTTATGAATCTTTTATTATAATCAATGAAGTGTAGGCTAAGTAGTAAGCTTCGGTCCTGCCCAAAATGAAGCGGGTGGTTTTCTTAGGGGACCACACCCGAAACCTTTGAATTAAAGGTCTGATCCACAAGGTAGTGGAGCATCGTGAGGAGATGCAGTCCCGTGGTAGCCGGTCACCAACGATTGATTCACACGCCATTTGTTCTTTCAGAATACTGGAGCCCATGTACACCATTGGTTTGGAATGAGGGTTTTCCAACTCCGCTAAGTGGGTTCACCATATCCACCAACCCAGTTAAAGTGCCGGACATTCACTTTTTGTCCTCTCAATTTCGTAAACAACACCCCTGCCACGAGAAGGCAGTGAGTAGGACTTTCTTGACAGAGGCTATATACGCATAGCCATGTGAGAGCATTTCGAGATGGAGAACTGACTCTCCCTACTCTCGGCCGTACCAGGGCATTTGGGTGCCATTACAGGATGCACATGTGCCCAGAGAAACTGATCGATTTCAGTCATAAACATTAATGAGAAGATTCAAACAAACAATATACACAGGAAACTAGTGACTTTATATGTAAACATAAGCAGAAAATTATGAATATGGACTGTAATTAAAACAAATGCTTAATTGAAATATAAGACTAACTATTTACAATTTGTAGTAGCTTTTTCAATTATCCAAGACTCTAGTTTCATCCTATTTGGGACTCCTCAGCCGGATGCACCTGCGTCTTAGAGTTGATGTTCACTATGCGATGGACTCGAACTCAGTACCGTTTGCTTCAAACTCCATCATGTTATCCACTTAGGTATTGACTCCTGATAGTCATATGCTTGTGCTATGGGGTAAAGTTCGAATTCACTTAGTATTGTTTGTTTGAATCTTCCCATTAATTTTTCGGACTGTAATTGATCAGTCTCTTATTGGCATATGTGCATACTGTGCATATTGCCTCGATATAGCCTCAATTCACAAGCATTATAAGCAAAGATGGGTGATGGCTAGGAATCCTAAAACTCAATGGGAAGATTTAAACAAACAATACCAAATGAATTCCAAGTTTGAATTGTTTATTTTTCTAACGAATCTGTATACAGTTAGATGACTCACTTTTAAATCAGCCATCGACTGAAGAAGTTTATATGAAGCTCCATTGAATATGAAGTCCTTCTTAATGATCATAAGTGTTGCTTTTCAAGGATCTCCAATGAAACACTCAATACACATAAGATGGTGAAATGGAGGTGGTCAACAAAAAACCCTGAACCCGGGTTTCATGCTACTTGGCACTCGTCAGCAATGTGTACCTGTAATCTTGAGGGAATTGTTGCTCCCTGACAGATTCAATCTCGTGTCAATCAGTATTCGATTAACACTAACAAGGACTTGACATGCATGACATTGATTACTTTTATCATCAAATATCATTTGATTGACATTTTTTTCTTTTTTCTTACTCATTCAGGTAGCTTTATGTGTGATGAATCCTTTCGGTGATGATGATGAAGATTTTCAAACATCAAAAATATTAGATTATAATTTAGATGTTAGTTATCGATCTGTATTTATGGATCCTGATGCTTTTCCAGAAAATCTTTCATCACCAATGGGAAAGAAAAAATCAGATGATAATGAATCAGATGATTTATTAAAATTTTTAGATCAAGTAGATCAAGAAATTGCTGAAGTTAGAAATAAAGAATTATTAAATGAGTGAGTTGACATTTCATAATTTTTTTTGAAATTAGTTTACGATTGAAATGCCTCCTCCTTCTGTAGCTCCTCCCGGGGACTACTGCCGGTCACAAGCCTGGGGAAAAGGAGGAGGTTCGGGTATGGGAGTTAGCGACCCCATCCCGTAGAAAAATCCAACTCGCTAAAAAAACGCTAACCAGAAAAAATTATTTAAACCATTTAAACTCTGGCCTGGGGGTAGAAGTAATAATTATGACGTCTCATGATGAAAGCCGAGTTCCTTTTGAATTCATGAGGCCGATGACTCTTCTTACAACCAGAGAGACAATTTTTATAGAGTTATATTCATAATCAGAGATTATTTGTTAAAAAGTAGTGATCGATGAGTTTCCAGAGGAGATCATGAATGGATCAAAATTAGACCACCATTGAAAACCTGGGAGCATTGAATGGCCATTTCGTCCTAGTATAGAACTCCTGAACAGTGTTCATCCATGATTTCTCATCAAAGGAACTTGAACTCATGACCTCTGGTCTTGAGCACAAACGCTTAACCTCTGTTTATAAACATATATGATGATGGCTAGTTGATCATGATTAAATTAAAATAGTGTAGACTATTATTCAACAGACCTAGTCGAACACCACTAGTCACAGCTTCTCACTAGAACTCCAGTATTGTAATCCTGCGAGTAGTATCATGGATGTGTAAGGCTGAGGAGTCCCATATTAGGATGAAACGGCCGTCCAATGTCTTTTTTCTCTTCAAAAATGTGTATTTTGCTAATGATGAGAAAAACAACAACAACTCACTTCGCGAGGCGAGGTCATGGATGCGCACTGCTGAGGAGTCCCAAAAGAGGACGAAACGGCCGTCCAGTGCTTCCAGGTTTTCCCTGGTGGTCTAGCTTTCAACTATGAAAATACTAAATCCCCACAAAAACTTACCTATGCAACTAAAATTTCATTTTAGTGTTTCTAATTTGGAAATGCATCCATCATTTTGTGAACGTGCAAGAAATTTATGTTGCTGTGAGAAAAAGAAACCACCACCACCTCGTAAGTTAACAAAATTTCTGTCACGTTTTTCTTTGTTCTTTTTATACTACTTATAAGTAGTAAATATTTTAAAACATAAAAACGTAATAAAATTTTTTTAATCAGCACCTACTTAAACTATACAATTATAAAATCATGATCTCTTTATTATATAAGATGAAATATTAAAGAATACAGTATCAATATGATATCAATGGAAAGATTCGAACAAACAATACAAAAATGAACCATTATTCACAAGCTAGTGACTATTTGGATTTAGTAGCTAAGTGGATAATGTGATGTAGTTTGAAGCGAACGGTACTGGGTTGGAAGCTTGAAGTGAATTTCAGTTCAGAGATACAAGTACACATCCATCTGACAAATTCCAAAATAGGATGAAATGTGCATACTGAACTCCACTGCTATCCACTATCATATCTGCTTATTATGCAATATAAGTATTCTCGTAAAATAAACCAGTGTGGATTTTATGTTGATTATGTTTTAAGTACCAAAAAGGAGCATCGTCGATTAAGTTAAAGTTGTCATACACGAATGGAAAAGAAATATTATGTACTATCAGCCGATGAGTATTGGTCAATAGATTAAACAGTCTATGTAAATGTTCAGTATAAAACATAAATTTTATGGATGGATAGTGGCTAGCAGTGGAATCCAGGACCTATTTGGGATTCGTCCGCTGGATCTACCTGCTCCTCAGAGTTGATGTTCACTCTGGGACTCAGTGGCCGAGTGGATAACGTGATGGCGTTTGAAGCGAAAGATACTGGGTTCGACTCCCATAGTGAACGTCAACTCTGAGATGCAGGTACATCCAGCTGACGAGTCCTAAATAAGACTTGCACGCGTCCTTGATTCCACTGCTAACCACTATCCATCTTTTCCCACCATGCTTGTGAATTTAGGCTATATCGAGGCAATGCGCACAGTATGCGCATATGCCAATTAGGGACTGACCAGTTGCAGTTCTAAAACATCAATGGGAAGATTCAAACATACAATACCAAATAAATTTTATATTTTACATCACGAATTGATTATACTTAGCAAACTACTTAAAACTTGGAAGCATTGGACTACTGTTTTTTGTTTATCATGAGACTCCTTAACATCCTGTGTTCACCAGGATTCGAACCCAAGACGTTCAGGCTTCATAATGATAGCCTAACTTTTAAATCACTGATATGTCAACCATTAGTTAACATTTCTAATAGTAGTAAATTTGCGATAGTCCTTGATTATTACTGATTGCCGTTTATCTAATATACAGCAAGGCTAACCCCCATTGATGACAGTTCCCCTATAGAGCTCTTTGAATTACCTTTCGAAATTATTCGATATTGAACACTTTTGTGATAGCTATTGAACTTCAAATTTATTTTTGTTTTAAATATCACTTTGACAAAACAAGTTTAAAAGATTTACCGTAGGGAGATTTGTAAAGGTTGAGGGAATTCCATACATCAAATTAAGCACTGACTTTATCTTGATCATCATTGAAAACATAGAAGCACTACACCACCGTTTCATCTTTGTGCTCATCCACTTCACTGCACAAGGGAAATTGTCGTATAAATTCCGGTCTTGCATGTTATCATTTATCTAGCTGCAGAGCTGTCATAGTCATGCTGAAAACTGTTCCTGTAGATCAGTTACTTCACTCTTCTCTAACAGTTTATAAGTGAATATTCTTATATGCTGTCATCTTCTGTTAGTGACTGTCGTTTACTACATACGGATGTTGTTTGTTGATGTAGAGTGGCTGGTTTCCAAATATGGGTTATCTTCTTAATAAAACTTGTTACCATTCACAGTAGAAATAAAGTGTAATACACAAAACAATTGGCACAGGCAAGCTTCACTAGTCATTAGCATTTTCCAAACAAGGCAACTTACCTAGTAGATAACATTCTGATATTTGAACATAAGAATGTAGTGAGAGAATAGTCGATATCCAACCTGTAAGTTTGAAGAGTTATATAAACTCACCTTCTAGGTTTTATATTATTATTATTTATTTGATCACACATGGTACAAAGGGGCACCGAATACATATGCGCCACACAAATCTCATTTGATTTGTGTGAGGGCTGTGATACTGGCCAGGTGCCCAAATTGAAGCAGGTAGTTTACTTAGGGGGGCCGCATCCCGAGCCTTTGACATAAAAGTCTGATCCACAAGGCAGTGGAGCATTGTGAGGAGATGCAGTCCCATGGTAACCGGTCATCAACGATTGATTCATACAGCATTTGTTCCTTCAGGATACTGGGGCCAGCCCATGTGCACCATTGGTTAGGAATAAGGGTTTTCCAACTCCCCTAGGTGGACGCGCCGTGTGAACAGGCCCGGTTAAAGTGTGGGATATTCGCTTTTCATCCTCTCAATTTCGTAAACAACACCCCCGCCACAAGAAGGCAGCGAGTAGGAATTCCCTGACAGATGCTATATGCGCGTGGCCATGTGAGAGCATTTGGAGAGGGAGAGCGTACTCTCCTCACTCTCGGCCGTACCAGGGTATTTGGGGGCTTCTAGGTTTTACTACAAGACAACTTTAAATTTACCATTTGTCTTTCATTAATAAACTAATGACATCCAATATGGAAAAAACATCATAGGCATAAACTCTGAAATGCTTCAACAAACATATTTTCGTGGATTGAAGCTGAACTTTCACAGATATTAATCTTCATCTCAATGATCTAAAGGTTAAGCATTGACAAGTGTGACTAAAGAGGATAAGTTCAATCCTCAGTTATGAAGTCAATATATACATACCGTTGAAGAGTTCTATGCCATGGTGAAACGATCTCTTAGTACTTCCAGAGTTTGTCCAACTTAGACCAGTACTTGATTTCATTTGAAAAGAATGATTATTTTATTACAATTAGTCTTTATATTGGTCACCACTTGTCTATTTTTTTTAAAAAAAATTTCACAATCTCTTTTAAATCCATTTAGCAATTATGGTTACAAACGTAGATTATGGTGAGTATCAACTGATATTTATACATATATATATTTATCTTTTAAATTTATTGATTCAGTGTATAATATAAGTTAAATAGAAACTTATTTGATTGATAGATATGTATCTAAGTGCTCTGGTGCGAGACTAGTAGGTCCTGGGTTCGAATCTCACGAAGCGGGATGGTGGATGCGTACCGCCACTGAGGAGTCTCATACTAGGATGAAATGGTCGTCCAGTACTTCCAGGTTTTCCATGATGGCTTAGCTTCAATTGACTCATGATCTCAACTATATAAAAATACTAAAATCTCCACGAAACCCCCCTTTCCAAACAATCTAATTATTTCTAAGAAAGATGCGGGTACATCCAGCTGAAGAGTCCCAAATAAGACGAAACACGCGCCTTCGATTCCATTGCTAGCTAGCATGCATCATTGTTTAGAATAGTTGTGACCAAAGACACTATCGAGGCATTCAGAACAAGATGCACATATGCCAACTAGAGACTGATCATTTATATCCCTAAACACAGGGAAAAATACAACAGAACACACTAAATTCTAGTGAAAAGGTTTATATAATGAAAATATAATAAGAAGGTGATATTGTAGTGAACAAGAAAACAAATGGAGACAATCAGAATACAAAATTACAGGAAGGGATCAAAGTCATCCTGTGATAGCCATAGAGGGATTAGTTTGACTAATATAGCATCTAAAATACAAACCTCAATAATTATTGGACGCCTAAGAAAGAATCGTGAACTCCAAACACGAGGAAATCAGGCTGGTTTCAGATCCGGTCATGGCTTTATCGACCATACATTCACTATTCGTCAAGTTTTAGAACACAGACATGCTTATCAGCGACAGACAATGATGGTTTTTTCTCAACTTAAAAAGAGAATTTGACTCTGTAGGCCTAGAGGTTCTGTGGCAGTGTCTGTCATTTAAAGGTGTACCTCAGAAGTACATAAACCTTGCGAAGGCTCTTTACTCAAACACTACCAGTCTAGTGAGAGCTTATGGTGAACTTTCATCTGATTTTACAACCTCAAATGGTGTCCGACAAGGCTGTCCACCATCTCCATTTTCGTTAAACTTGATCATAGACATACTGCTGGAAATAACGTTCTCGTCGACTGAATTTTCGGCATTGATCTCCTACCAGGAAGTCCACATATTATATTAGAATAGGCAGATGACATAGTCCTGTTTGGTGAAGACGCTGATAAACTGCAGAGTCTTTTAGTAGCACTAAGTGAAAATGCCAGGATACGTGGAATTCGTTTCTCGCTATCCAAATGCAAATTGTTATTACAGGACTGGCTTGCGTCAACAACTGAACTAAGGATAGGGAGTGAAGTAGTCGAACGCGTGGACAACTTCACTTATCTTGGAAGTCTGATCAGCCTTAATGAGTTGGTGTCTGACAAAATCTATGCGTGAATTCAAAAAGTTCGTGTCACCTATGGCGAAGGCAGGATATCCGCCTATCAATTAAGGGGCGAGTACACTGCTCAGCAGTTCGTTCTGTTTTACTTTACGGCTGTAAAACGTGCGCATTAAGAGTAAAAAAATATTCGTGAGTTACTAGTATTTGACCACAGATGTCTTGGAAATATTGCTCGGGTAAGTAATAGTGATTTTAGACACAGAGCATTAGGGAATGATGGTAAATCAGCTGATGAGGTTGTGAATCTTCATCAACTGAGATGGTTTTGCCACGTGTTACATACACCTGAATACCGATTACCACAACTCACAATGCTGACTAGTATTGGGGATGGTTGGAAGAAAGTTAGGGACGGTCAAACCAAAACGTGGCATCAATGCTTGCAGTCACTAACTTTTAGTCTGAGCCATGTTAGTAGATCCAGACTACTTGATTGGGGTCCGCGTGACTAGCGTAACTAATGGTTGGAGACTCTGGGTGAAATGGCTCAGAATCGATCACAATGGTGTAGGTGTATACACTCTTTATCTTCCTTTAAACCTTGACATTAAAATTGCTTCATATCTTTCTTTCTTCCTGTACTATATCCTTATATACAATCTTTCTTTTATATATTACCACCATTGGAGTAACCACTTCCATGAATTCGGTGTTCGCCATTTTTTGCTAATGAGGTGTAGCAACTATGACTGATACATATATGTGCTTGGTCCTAGTCATAGCTGATTAGCTCACACAGAGTTACTAGGACATCTAACTAATCACAGATATTTATGATTTTTTGAATATAAAATTATAAAGTCATTAAGTATATATTCACGTCTGTTACGTCCAACATATTTATTACCATACACACAAAATCTTGTTGATTGAAAAGAGCCCAAAATACTTTATTATAATATCGTCAATTTTTTCATATGAATAGCCTCAAGCTTTTTTTTTATAGTTGAGTTCATGGGCCAATTAAAGCTGAACCGCCATGAAAAACCTAGAATCAATATGATATAGTAACTTGTTGAGGACAATTATGGACGGTAGAGCAATTTTGTAGATTGATTGAGGTTAGATTTAACACCGTTGGATGCCGTCCAGCTCAGTGGTCGACAGATTAAGCTTTCGCTTACGAGACCGATAGGTCCTGGGTTCGAATCTTACGATGAGGGATCGCGGATGCACACTGCTGAGGAGTTCCATACTTTTATGAAACGCTCATTCAGTGCTTCTAGGTTTTCTATGTTGGTCTAACTTTAATCGATGAATGAATTCAACTGTCAAAATTACTACAATCTCCACAAAATCCCCCTTCTTATATTAAACTGTATTGTTATAAAAATGATTTGGACTAAATTTACTCATATAATTTATACTACTTATATCCTTACATAGTAGATATTACATATTAATGTATATTTATATCAATGATTAATCTATTTAATATTATTTTACAGAAAGATATTATGAGACACCAATGAAACCAAGTCATCTTCATCCCAGTATAAAAAAATGGACATGGCTTAGAAGTTAATTATTTTGAGTAAATAACGAGTTGTTGAATGCTTCCTATTGCTTTCTATTGATGGTCTAGCTTTATTTAACTGATAAATTCAATTATTAACTAACTAACTAACTGACTACTTGTTTGTTTATTTGATTTCTCTATTCTTGAGATGGTGAAGAAGATTTGTAATTCAGGTAGATGATTTTGATGGAGTTTTGTTTTCTGAACTGGATTGTTTGATCGTGGAGCGCTAATCGTCCTTCTGAACGACATCATCAGAATTCGCACTCGAAGTTTATGCCTCCTATTTTGGATTCATCATCTAGATGTAATCATCTCCTAGAGTTGATATTCACTCCTGAGTTTGAACTAAGTATCTCTCAACCTAAACTCACACAGATCACAAGTTCGATATAAGACGAAACAAGCATCCTAGATTTCATCACTAGTCATCATCCATCTTTACTTAAACATCCTTCTAACTTATTAACAATGTCGAGGTAATTCTTAAAGGATGCACATGTATCGTAAAAGACTGATCGATTTCAGTTGTAAACGTTAATGGGAAGATTCCAATAACTAATATATATTTTCATAGTTGAAAGCATGAGTCAATTGAAGCTAAACCACCAAGGAAAACCTTGAAGCATTGAATGACTATTTCGTCCTAATACTGGACCCCTTAACAGTACAAATCCACGATTTTCCATATGAGACTCAAAACCAGGACCTCTGGTCATTCTTGCAAACGCTTAACTTCTAGTCCACTGAACCTAAGTTATACATTAATACCATTTGATACCGGTTTAGTGGTTTAGAGCTAAAATATTCGTGAATGTGATCGAAGTTCCTGAGTTCGACTATCCAGTGGATGCACACTAATAAGAAGTCTCATACTATGACAGAATGACTATCCAATGCTTCCAAATGTTCATATACACCTCTAATGGCTTTCTATATTGTGATATCATTACTCTTACTAACAAGTACATTGTTTTTTTTTGAATTATATGAGCTAACAACTAATTTAATTTAAATTTAAAAAATCAATAATTAGTTGCTACCTGATTTTCGTAACTCTATTTTGAGTTTCATATATTATTCAATTTAGTGTTATTAACTAGATAATAAGTTGTTTGGGTGTTTAAAGATTTATGTAATTTCGATGGAGTTTTATTCTCTGACCTGGATAGTTTAGTCGTGGAGCTTTCATTAGCGGTACGTTCACGATCTCAGAGCTCGAAATCTAACCCAAGACATTCAATCTCCCTGATGAATGCTTAGACTTTAGACAACTGAGCCGACATTCAACTGTGTAAATGTCTAACTACAGTCAATTTAATGATATTTTACTACCTTAAATAATCCACAAACCAATAAACTTCCAGATCAATTCACATAAGACACAGGTTTAACTGATTATTCAGTCCACTCTACACGACAATTCAGCATTTCTACCCGAAACGAAACGGCCGTCCAGTGCTTCCAGGTTTTCCACAGTGGTCTAGTTTCAATTGACTCATGATCTTAACTATATAAAACTATTTCTACCCGAAGTTTGTGCTGATGATGTCGTGTTCAGAAGGACAATTAAAGCTCCACGACCAAATCATCAGGCTCAGAGAATAAAACTTCATCAAAATCATTCACCTGAGCTACTAATCTTCTTCACCATCTCAAAAATTTATAAGAATTTGTTTCTTAACAAAACTGTTAATTCATTATAACAATGCACATTAACAACTTATATCGTAATATTAATTTAGTTACCATAGTAACTAATAAGTTACGGTTTATTGTTTCATTATTTCGTATTTTTTTAGTTATTTAATAACAGAGTATGAGTATTATTCAGTGATATAAGCAATTGCTTATCTGAAGGAGTTTTTGTGCAGATTTCAATATGTTCATAGTTGAGATCATGAGTCAATTGAAGCTAGACCATCATGGAAAACCTGGAAGTACTGGACGACCGTTTCGTCCTATTGTGGGACTCCTCAGTGGCAGTGCAAACCCACGATCCCACCTCGCGAGATTCGAACTCAGGACCTACCAGTCTCTCGCCAGAGCACTTAACCGACAGACCGCTGAACCGGCATCCAATGGTGTTCATTTCTAACTTCAACCGATCCACGAAGTTGAGCAACCGTTCACCAATTGTCTTCAATGAGTTCCTATCTCACAACAGACCTGATTGAACTCCACTAGTCAAATATTCATTAACTGTTTTAACAAGTTGAAACTTCTTACTAATGCTTCAGTTGTTCGTTCGTTCGTTCTTCTTCTTCTTCTTTTACTTCTACTTCTTCAGCTTGTCTCAATTTACAGTAAAATGTTGAATTCAGTTATGATTTCATTGATCAGTCGATTAGAATTGCTTAGTAATACTTCATTACAGATGATAGGAAGGTAGTTACTTTGACATTTGATAATTATTGATTCAATTTCCATGTGTTTACATCAAGAGTAAAGTGTTTATTGACGAAACAGATTTCAAAAAGAGAATTTCATATTTTACATTGTAATGAATTCTATCAAAGAACACAGATACAATCAATTTACACTACTTTCTGTAACTATGTCAGTCAGTCAGTTATAACGTAGGACCAGGCACATATATGCATCGGTCCAAGTTGTCATTGCCTCATTAGCACAATAAGATGAACACCGAATTCATAGAAGTAGTTAATTTGATGGTGGTAATATATAAACGATAGGTTGTATATAAGGATATAGTATAGGAAGGAAGACAGATATGAAGCAATTTTAATCTCACAGTTTAAAGGAAGATAAAGAGTGTATACATCTACACCGTTGTGATTGATTCTGAGCCCTGTCACACAGTCTCCAACCATTAGTTACGCTAGTCACGCGGACCCCAACCAACTAGTCTGCATTTACCAACATAGCTCAGACTAGAATTGTAACCATGTGGTATCATTAATTTTTCCTACACACATAGTAACGTTGAAGTTCAAGTAAACAAATAGGTATTTTGTTACTGGATAACTGTAACAAAAAAGCTTTCACATCAGTAAGAAGGAATGTGATTGATAGTAATGACAACTCTATAAAGGAAACAATGACATCATAGATTCTCTAAAAGAATAAAAGTATTTAAAATATAGACATTTATTTGATAATTTGATAATATTATACTGAGTTTACTTTATACACATTGAAATTATGCTCACTAGTGACTGATTTCAAGGGATGTTTCCTGGAGTTCTAGTGGGAAGCAGTGACCAGTGGAGTTCAACCACGTCTGTTGTAGAGATATCAACTCACTGAATACAATTGGTGAATGGTTGCTCAAACATCGTGGATTGGTTGGAGTTAGACATTACCACCGTTGGATGCCAACCAGCTCAGTGGTCTATCTGTTAAGTGCTCTGGCGCGAGACTGTTAGGTCCTGGGTTCGAATCTCGCGGGGCGGAATCGTGGATGCACATTGCTGAGGAGTCTCACAATAGAACGAAACGACCGTTCAGTGCTTCCAGGTTTTCCATGATGATCTAGCTTCAATTGATTGATGATCTCAACTATTGAAATTATTAATAAATGATTTTACATATTTCTGATATACATTATAAACTATATATTCTCTATATTCATCCAATTTATTCTTTCAATTTATTACAGCTAAATCCAATTCACATTTCAAATTACAAAAACCAAAATTTAAAAAATTTCATACAGAACAAATCTAATTTGTGTGTAATCTAATAGACATTTAAAAATATTTTGCTTTATTTTTGATAGGCTACTTATATTTTTATTCAGTAGTCTGTTTAGATATACTAAATATTTTATTTTGGACAAGCTTCTTATTGAAAATTATGTACAATTATGTTTTTTTTTTAATGTCTATGTTTATTCATACATATCAGACCTCATTGGATCATCATTTTCTTTCATATGATCATTACAGTTCAAAGAATTGAACCACATTATTTTCTATAATAATGTTTATTATTGACAAGAATTATCGAAGATGATCATCATAATGGTTGTAGAAGAATTGAGAACATTATTGGAAACATTCCATAATTTCATGATAATCAATATGAACTTATCTCTAGTGAATTGATTTTGTTACAGAGATTACCATTATTAATTACTATGATATATATATATATATTTGCATAACTCTTATATCTCGAACTCAGTCAGTCAGCTACAACGTAGGACCAGGTACATTTATGCATCGGCCCACGTTGCCATACTTCATTAGCACAACAAGATGAACACCAGATTCATAGAAGTAGTTAATTTAGTGGTGGTAATATATAAACGATAGGTTGTATATAAGGATATAGTATAGGAAGGAAGACAGATATGAAGCAATTTTAATGTCAAGGTTTAGGGGAAGATAAAGAGTGTATACACCTCAGCCATTGTGATCAATTCTGAGCCACGTCACTTATCTCGAACTTAGATTCTTAGTATGTTATGCAATACTTGAGCATTCAAACGCTAGAACCCTCTCAAGTCTCAAAATGAGAAGAAAGAAGCCTAGTAAATAGGAATGTGATTCCCAACAGTGTGAAATATAGTACATAAATCTCATGGAATTATATTTTTTTGGCTGAAAGTAAATCATCATTTCGGACAGTCAATAGGCACACAGGGGAGCAATCTTATTCATTCAATAGCGGAGCTACACGTCGACATTCTAGAATGTTCTTCTAGCAATGATTGGATGGAATGTCTTAGGCTCTTTCTGGGCTTCTTGAGTTTGCCAACAAGCAATCCTTACGATAACATAATAGGATTCGTCTAAATAATTGTATTGAATATATTAACAGCATAACTGCTAACATCAGAAGGAGTTTTATGGAAATTTAGTATTTTCATAGTTTCAGGCGTCAGTCAATTGAAGCTAGACCACCAAGGAAAACCTGGAACCTGAGGAATCCCACAATAGGACGAAACGGCCGTCAATACAGTGCTTCCAGGTTTTTTATGATGGTCTAGCTTCAATTAACTCATGATTTCAACTATGAAAATAACTGTTAATCCCATTACAGAAATGAGTTCATATAAGCCTTAATTGTAAGGGGGTTATAGTACACAAAAATACCTTGATAGTAAAAATTATCTTCAAATGATCTCAGCTTATTTTACTAATAATCTTAGCTATGTCTAACAGATATATACACTCTTGTTTCAAAACATACGCCTATTAAGATTTTACTTTAATCATATTTTGTCTTAGCCGGTCAATGAAGATATCTTAAAATCCCTATCAGATAAGTGAATTAACCTTCCAGAGACACTTACTATGTATTTAGAGCATTGAGAAGAATCTTGCACTAAATGCAGACTATAGGTCATATTTATTTCGATAGAGTGAGTTGGAGAATGCTTGTCGGTGGCTTATGCTCTATTGGGGGTAACAGGCGTAAGTAAGTATGTAAGTAATTTGAATTTCTTTTCGTCTCAGGTACGGTTTATGATAAGGTGCTTTGTTCGTTCGATTTTTCAAGAAGTCTCATCATATTCGAAGGTTCTTGTTATGTCATTGATATATCTACCCACTTTCGTGCCGAGGATAACTTGTCTAATGTAGATTAAGACCTTGACGCGATAGGCTGACTGGTTTAACCTTAAAGCTAGTATGCATGAGTTCGAAGTGAGGGTAGAGAGACAAAAACTATTCTATCACCTGATTGGCTGACAGGCACGCGCGAGAGAGAAGACAAGACAACTGGAACATTACTCGCTTTATTCCAAATACCAACCTGGTACCCGAATTCCAGATTACTGTAAAAAGATACATGACTAATACAGATGACTAACCTGACCAAGACTAACAATAATTAGGAAAATACAATGATGTCCAAAACTGAGGGATTAGAGTAGAAAATAGAGTACAAAAGGTTATGTCCAAATTACAATAGCTTTGGAACGAACAGAAAAGGCTATGGCATTGAATCATACATCAAACGAAAGCTTATGATCTGTAGAATACACTAGGGGGAAAAGGAAATGGTACTGTCATACAAGCTATGAATTAAATGAAATAACGTCCCCCAAAAATAGCTTCCATCGTTTGTTAAGGCTTCTTGTTTCGCTGTTCACATCAATTCTCTTAACTTTATAAAAGCGCTATTTTTCGAATATGTTGAGTGATATTACTGGGATATCTTCTAGATGTATATATATACATAGATATAATGATATCCTGTTGAAGAAAGTCAACAGTCAGTCATGTTTGTACATTATGACAGAAGTACAATAAGAATCTAATATTACGTATTATCACAATAAAGAGAAATTGAAATCATTACAAACTACCGTACGATTATGTTCTGGTTATTTAAAAAAAGAACAAACTGGATATATATATACAGTCATTATCGAAGTATCTAATATAAATAAACCGAGTGTAGTATCGGTTGCAGGTTAGCGTTTTTTCAGCGAGTTGGTTTTCTACGGGATGGGGTCGCTAACCCCATGCCCAACCCTCCTCCTTTACCCGTGCTTGTGACCGGCAGTAGCCGGAACTCAAAACAAATGTCAACTAATTTCAAAGTCAGAATGTTCAATACGAACGTCAAGACAGTCCTACTGTATGAAGATGAAACGTGGAGAACTACCACATCCATCGTCAAGAAGGTACAAGTATTTATAAACAGTTGTCTAAGCAAAATACTCAACATTTATTGGCCGGATACTATCAGCAACAGCGTTTTATGGGAGAGGACAAACCAGCTTCCAGCTGAAGAGAAAATTAGGAAAAGACGTAGGAAGTGGATCGGACATACATTAGGAAAATCACCAATAGGCATTACAAGGCAATCCCTAACTTGGAATGCGGAAGGGAAGTGGAAAAGAGAGGCCAAAGAATACATTGCGTCGGGAAATAGAAGTAGATATGAAAAGGATGAATGTTAACTGGAAATAACTGGAAAGGAAGGCTCAGAACAGATTTGGATGGAGAATGCTGGTGAGCGGCTTATGCTCTTCTACGAAGGGTAACAGGCGTAAGTAAGTGTCGGTTGCTATGTTAAGCCTATATACCTTTATTCTAGCTTCTGGACAGGTCAATCTATTCATTCTTCTTGATTCACGTTTTGACTTTGTTAATTATTTACTTATCAACCTTGACAGTTTTCATATGAGCGTATGCATGTGTACACTTCGTATCCTATTCATCACATGTCTGCAACTTATTTCTGTTTGACTATGAATGTTGATTACTGCTTGATTAAATAGATTTGGCTTACATGCCTTCTCCACTGAGAGTCGTTTCGTTTCGCTCTCTTTTATTCGCTTCATCCCTTTCATTTCCTTTCCACATCAGTGAGTGTACAAAATATACTTATTGAACATCCTTTCTCGTATTTGAATGATTTTGATTCCGTTGTTACTGATCAACTCATGTTAAGTCGATTATTTATTTATTTAAACACATAAGTATTGGTACAAAAGGGCACCAGTATATATGCGCCACACAAATCTCATTTGATTTGTGAGAGGACTGTGATAGTTCCCAGGTGCCCAAACCAAAATAGGTGGTTTCCTTAGAGGGCCACACCCGGGGTCTTTGACCTAAAGGTCCAATCCACAAGACAATGGAGCATCGTGAGGAGATGTAGTCCCATGGATCCCGGTGACCAACGATTGATTCATATGCCAGTTTTTCTCTTTTAGGATCCTGGAGCCCATGTGCACCATTGGTTTGGAATCAGGGTTTTCCAACTCCCCTAGGTGGACGCGCCGTGTCCTCCAACCCGGTTAAAGCACCGGACATTCGCTTTTCATTCTCTCAGTTTGGTAAACAACAGTAATGCCACGAGAAGGCAGTGAGTAGGACTTGCCTGGAAGTGGCTGTATACGCGTGGTCATGTGAGAGTATTTTGAGAGGGAGAGCGGACTCTCCCCATTCTCGGTCGTGCCAGGGCATTTGGGGGGATTCATACGATCTAAATGGTGACAGATATCGAGCTATTATTAAAGAAACCTTGACTTAATTAAATTATTTTGGCAATGAAATTCACATAAGAAAACAAAAAACAAAAACTTGATCACATAAACAAAAGTCATGAAACATTACAGCTTTTCTTTTTCTAATATGTATATTTATATAGAATATGTATTACAGCATTTATGATTATTTAATGCCCCCAAATGAATACTGAACAGACGATATTTTGGATCCTTCCAGATATTCTTAATCTACACATAAGAAAATCATACAATAATAACAAAGATGTAATGAGTAAATAAATATATATACTTCAAAGTTGAAATAATGAGTTAATTGAAGCTAGACCATCATGGAAAACCTGGAAGCACTGGACGGCCGTTTCATCCTATTGTGGGACTCTTCAGCAGTGCGCATCCACGATCCTGCACTCGCGAGATTCGAACCCAGGACCTACCGGTCACGAACCAGAGCCCTTAACCGACAGACCACCTATATACTACCGAAAAATTACAAGTATATCTAAATAAGCTGAATGTATATTGATAACATTTTCTTAGAAAGTTATAGTGTAATGAATGAGAACACAGATGGGAATTATCGGATGTATTTGAACACCAAATTACAGAACATCTTCGTAAAATATGATAACCATACAGTCGATTGTCTCAAAATTCACTGTTCCTTCACTTTCATATCAATTGCTTTCTGTTCTCGTTCTTTCCTTCTCGACTTTCTGATGCCAAGCATTCTATTCCTGACTAGTATTATATACTACTTATGTCGATATAAATAGCACACATCACAATAATACAAAATTAACTCATAATATATTATATAGATGAAATCATGAGTCAATTGAAGCTAGACCATCATGGAAAACCTGGAAGCGCACTGCTGAGAAGTCCCACAATAGAACGAAACGGCGGTCTAGTGCTTTCGGGTTTTTTATTACCATTACCTGGTTCCTAAGCCTTTTCTGTTCATGAACACCGGACAGAATCTTCAGTGGAACATGTTAACAGTGGCAACAAAATCAATAACTACCCAATCATGATAAAGAAAGTCTGATTAGCAGTTTTATAAATTTCTCTTCGAAGCTTCTAAAGAATTCTGGCTTGTTGAAATATTTTCAGAATTTTCCTAGTACCTGAAAACTTTTTCTGGGCATTATCAAGGGTTTTAATGAAGAAGTAGATTTGGATTCCACTTGACTTTTCTAGCGATTTCATATATCGATTTATATGTTGATATACTTAACAGATGGGACTATAAAATTAGCATCTGTTACAGCTGCCTGATTACACATCAAGAGAGGGGACGAGGGTAAATTCGAAAGATCTCAAACAAATGCATCATGTAACGGTAATAGATCAAAAAAATTAACAATATAAAGAGGAGACGAGTCCATACCGAAGACATTGACTTAAAGCTAATAACACTTTAAGCAAAGATGTTAGTTGAATTTTGTAGTGCAACTAATCAGAAAGCTTACGTTATTAATATTATTATTTTTATTAATGGCTTTATTCAATATTATAATCTGGTACAATATGGAATTCTCAGCACGAGTTATTTCGACAAGTTTTTTCCCAAAAAATAAAACCAAAAAAAACAACAACAAAAAACAGAAATAAAATATAAAAAAGGTTTAAGAAAATCTGAGTTTATATAAATTATCGAATATGAGACATGTTTAAGAAGACAGGTTATTTACTAGGTCAACTCTAACAGCCTGTTCGTCACAAAGTAAATTAGCTAAGTAAAGTATTACAGAACTTTTATAGATTTGCTTGCGTGCATGAATTTTAATGTATTTACGTCTCGTTCTACCAGAAGATATACAAGGAGAAAGATATGAATGAAGCGGATGGTTAGTATCTGATAAGATAACACCTGCCAAGAGTTTGCAAGCCTTAAGATGTCTATCCACAAGCATATTAACAATGACAGCCAACTACACCAATTTCCATAATGATGACTATGTACTGGACTTTCATTGAAAAACATTTTAGTTAGTCACTGAATTGTGAATAACATAGAACGTAGCAGGGAAAGAATGCATACATCTGACTCATTTCAATCAATGTTACGTCATTTCATTCAAGCTTTCACTAAAACGAACAGTTCCATCAATTTGAACGTACATGTTGTTATTCTGAAATTGCATTGACAGTAACTGAAGAATCATTATATTTAAAGTATCATTTTCTACTCGACTTTCCTTCATACTTTGTCACTCTTAATTACTTATGATCTTATCTGTAATCCACCTAACCTAATACTATTAACTAGCTTTGAGATATAAATTCACTTGGTGTTCTTTACTTGTATCTTCCCATTGTTATTTAGGACTCCAATCGATCAGTCTCAATTACAGTCCTAAATAGCAATGGAAAGGTACACGTGAGCAACACCAAGTGAATTTAAACTTCACCCCATTGCACAAGCAGATGGCTATCAAGACTCACTACCTAAGTGGATAATGTGATGGCGTTTGAAGTGAACGGTACTGGGTTCGAGTATCAAAGTGGAAATCAACTCTGAGATGCAGGTACATCCAGCTGACAAGTCGCAAATGGGACGAAATGCGCGTCAAACTAGATTCCACTGCTAGCCACTATCCATCCTTGCAAATATAGCTTTGAGTTAGATTCTTCTAAAACTAAAGAGGTATACAATAGTATTCACAATATTTTGAGTACTGATCAAAAAATTAAAAAAAAACATCAAATACTGGATTGTTCTAACATAATAATCCGCAAGTTTTTAGTTCAATCATGAATAGTTACTAATAAGTAGTCACCAAAAATAAAACAAAAACAATTTCCTTACCTTTAAAATAGACACTTTCAATCATTGTGATTATTTATCTTTGAAATATTAACTGATACAATATTGGATCACTAAGAAGCAGAAAAAAGAAAGAAACCATCGGTGAAACTATAATTTATGAACAAACCAACCAGGTATAAGATAACAGATCTCGAATTTTTGGCTAGAGTTTTAGCATCGTAGTTGATGTCAGTTTGTGATTCAATTAGTACCATTTCAATATGTCGGCCGAATAGTACATCAATTCTGTCAATTTGTGATGATAACCTCCAAATCTAGTTTTTAATCTTAATCACCAACTGTAAATGATAATTCTAATTCCTTACACATGGGTTTATAACACTCATTTAATCCTATTTATTAGATGTGTTGTGACTTTATAAAAGAAGGCCGTTGCCAATTCCTTATGATTTTATGTCCAGCTTTTTATCACGTGAATTATCCACTAATCGAAATACGACTTATCTAATCTAGACACTGTACCAAATCAATGACGTTCGACCGGTATGAACAGTCTAGCATCCTTGTTGGTCCTTTGTCCGCCTAACCCTTCCAATTGAGTCCAGAGCACCAATGACACCTTCTGCTATACGAATCATTTATTTCAAGCATACTCGGTGTTAAGTCGGCTTGTAGTAAAGTGCTTCTCTGATACTCGTGTCTTCTCTCTGGTCTTCAAGTTGCTGTATAGTTCTAGCTCGGGGATCCGAAACTAGCTTAGGGAAGCAAACATAACCTTCACAAACGGCAGACGTAACAGTGGCGACGGGGATGGGATTCGAGAAATTCGAGAAATTTAAAGTCCGGTTGTCAACTCCGGATTTCTCAAAAAGGGGGGGGTGTTATATCCCCTGGTGAATTATGAATGGTCACTCTAAGGACTATTTATCGACCAATGTATTATGCCTATTTCCAATTGTTACGTAACTAAACTATTCATATTCGTGTTTCTCTTATCATTAGCTTTATTTTGATCTTTGATTTATTATCAATACGATTCTTGAGTTATAATCAGTTTATTGATTACTTTGGTTTGTATAAAAACCCAGTATGTTTGTAAATAATGATTCATACCACTGAGACTGTTATTGGTGTTTTGGACTTAACTGGCTGGGCTAGGCAGATAGGAAGGACCGAATAGCACTCAAGACTGCTTGTACGATTTTCAAGTATCATTTGCGTCCGATCAATAAATCCACTACATCTCCAATTGCACATTCATATATATTACGAGCCATACGATATAACAGTGGCGACGGAGGATTTCGGTACGCAAAAGAAAAAAGTAACACTCGGTTTATATGCCAGCCAAACACACCGCATCACACCATCAAATGGAAAATAATATTTGTACAAGATCAAGCCAAATGTGGCTGTGAACGTGGGAGACAGTAATCAATAAACTGAATATAAATCGCACAGTAATAATTCATGAATCAAAATGAAGCTTATAATAAGATGAATATAGATACACACAATCTAATTACTTAATAGTTAGACAATAAGAGTATATATAGAATAATGGTCCATTAACAGGTCCCGGAAGTTACCCTTGCCTCCATTGTCACTAAGATATAACAATATGGATACTGTCATAATCAATTTAACATCAATCAAAGGCTTGCTTATAAATTATAAATAATTATAATAATCAATTATAACTTACATAGTAAGCAAAGATGGATAGTGGCTAGCAGTGGAATCCAGGACGCGCGTTTCGTCCTATTCGGAACTCGTTAGCTGGATGTACCTGCATCTCAGAGTTGATGTTCACTCCACTACTCGAACCCAGTACCTTTCGCTCCAAACTCCATCGCATTATCCACTCGGCCACTGAGTCCTGCTAGTCACTATCCATCTTTGCTTACAATTCTTGTGAATTAAGGCTATATCGAGGAAATACGCACAGTATGCACACACGTCAATTAGAGACTGACCAGTTACAGTCCTAACACATCGATGGGAAGATTCAAACAAACAATACTAAATTGAATTTATAACTTACATAGTTTTATAAAGTTCACGATTTTTCTGTATTAATTTATAATTTGGATTCATTGTAAAATGTTTAATTTGTGGATGACCACGTCTCCCCGGTGATAATAATGTAATAAATGTTGACGGTACAAGAATACGTTTCATTTGATCACAATAGAGATTATAATTATTTAATGTGTATCTAGAAACTAACAATAAATTGGTTCTTTTTAGTGAATAGAAGTGTAAAGAATATGCTTTTTAAGATCAGTTGTTTTTGTGGATATTATAGTAATTTCAATAGTTGAGATCATGAGTCAATTGAAGCTAAACCACCATGGAAAACCTGGAATCATGGGCTCCAGCATCCTGAAGGAACAAATGGCGTATGAATCAATCGTTGGTCACCAGCTACCATGGGACTGAATCTCTTTACTATGTTCCATTGCCTTGTGGATCATATCTTTAGGTCAAAGGCTACGGGTGTGGCCTCCTAAGAGAACCACCTGCTTCAGTCTGGGCACCTGGGTAGTATCACAGCCTTCACAGAAATCAAATGAGATTTGTGCAGCGCATATGAATCTGTTGCTTCCTTGTATCAATATTTATGTGTTTAAATAAAATAAAATAAATGGAAGCAATTGACGGCCGTTTCATCTTATTGTGGGACTCCTCAGTAGTGCGGGTCTGTTATGAGATAGTAATCCACTGAAGACAATGGTGGATGTGTCCACAATTTAATGAATCGGTTGAAGTTACACATTAACACTGTTGGATGCCAGCCAGCTCAGTAGTCTACAGGTTAAGCGCAAGATCATGGATGCGCACTGTCACTGAGGAGTCCCACAATAGGACGGAATGACCGTCCTGTACTTCCAGGTTTTCCATGATGGTCTAGTTTCAACTGATTCATGATCTCAACCATTGAAATTGTTGTTTATTTAGAAAAAGAAATATATACTAATCATACTACTTACTATATGAATCTAATTCAATACCAATAAGTAATATATTAATATTATGTTTAAATTGTATAGGACCAATAAACTTCACAGTTCCATTATATTTATTCCATAATTTAACTCTGTCGTTTAATTTACATTTCATATGAGTATATGGTTTGCTTTGTAATTTATTATTAAAACATTGACATATATCACAAGAACAATTCGATAATTTTAATTTGATATTATCAGTATTCATTGACTGATTACAGAGATTATATAATCATTGTTTGTTTGTTTGTTAATCTATAAAAGAAAACATAGAATTAAGCATTTAGATCTTCTAAGTAAAGTGAATGACAATAATAGGAATATTATGTAACATTTTATCTAAGATTGGTACAAAGGAGCACCAGGGCTGTGATACTGCCCAGGTGACCAAACCGAAACAGGTGGTTTGTTTAGGAGGCCACACCTGGAGCCTTTGACTCAAAGGTCTGATCCACAAGGCAGTGGAGCATCGTAAGGAGATGCAGTCCCATGGTAGCAGGTGACCAACGATTGATTCATACGCCATTTGTTCCTTCAGGATCCTAGAGCCAGCCCATGTGCACCATTGGTTTGGAATCAGGTTTTTCCAACTCCCCTGGGTAGACTCGCCGTGTCCACCGACACGGTTAAAGCGCCGGACATTCACTTTTCGTCCTCTCACTTTCGTAAACAACACCCCCGCCACGAGAAGGCAGTGGGTAGGACTTCGCTAGCAGAGAGCATCCGGTCGTACCAGGGCATTCGGGGGCCTTTATCATGATAGTCAATTTCAAGAAAATGTAAAGTAAATAATGAAGTTCAATTGAGTATCTATACTGTTGGAATCAAGATTCATGATTCTAAGTATTCATTGTCTATTATATGGTATACAGGATTAAAGTTGTCACATCTATTATGAGAAGAATGGTTAATCAGTATTATTAAGTACAACAAATTCAGTTTATATTATAGCAGGTAAACCTATTATGATATTTTGAGTGAAGTCCTACTGAAATATGAGATACTTCCTAGCAGTTAAGTTGATCGAATTCTATTGATCAAGTTGCAATGTGGTCCTTAGTTTAAATAACTTTATATTGTGTGCTCTAAATTGAGGCATTAACTAAAGAAACTTGAAACCCTATTCATTCTATCCACAGCATGTTTTGTCTGAATAAGTTTGATTACTTTCACTGCAAATCTACTAATAGTTATACATATTATTTAGTTGGACTCCATGTTTGAGCTTTCATCAAAATATATAGCTTTCTATTGAGTTTTTCTTTCTATTGCCATGATTAATCTTTTAGTGACCAATTTAAAGTAGAGTTGTAAATGTATAACTTGTGACTTATTTAAACCCCCCAGCAATCATCAACGATATGTTCGTCTCATCTGTAGTAGGAAAACAAAATGACATAAACCAAGAGGAAATTGATTTTCATAGATTAGTTCCCTTTTACATTGAATCTATTAAGTGTTAGTATGAACGGATTTAGACGTGCAAGAAGAAGATTACTATATAACAAATTCAAATAGTGAATATATTCTTAACTGAAGGTAATGGTGGGTGACCTTGCATTATCTGGGACTGAATAAAGTTGTATATGTACACTATCAGATGCCGACCCAAAGGTGTAGAAGTTAAGAGCTCACCAGAGGATTGCAAGTCTTAGGTTCGATGCATTCTAGTGCGGTTATGGATGTGCACAATGAAGTAATCCCATACTAAAACGTGACAGCTTTCCAATGTTTCCTGATTTTCGATGGTTGTATAGAAAAGATAAGCTCGCGATAGAAACTATAGAAATTCATATACCTACATAAACCCTCAATAGTAACAAAATAACTGAATTATTGGGAAAACAGAGTTTTGCAGATTAGTCCACTGGAACCAAACTTTATAAAGTTTCAAATACCAGTGATGATAATTTTTTTAATTAGGCGCTAAAATAAAAAATCTTGGCTCACAGAGTTTGATGATGTAGAAATACATTGGAATTAAATCAGCGTCGGTCAAATGAATATATAACATTAAATACATAAAGTAACTGGACAGAGATCTTAAGCATATTGATAGACACGAAGTTCTTCGTGGAGATCTTTGAAAATTTAACGATCTATGGTTAAAGATTACACGTAAAAAATACTACGATCAGTTGTATTGGAGGAATACATTCATTTTCTGCATTTCTATTAGTCCTGAGTTTAGTGTTCATTCATGCTTCTTACTTTCTAACTTCTATTTCCTCTTTTTGGACTACATTTACTAGATTTATTTTGTTTTATTACACCTCATATACGTCTGATTTCCACGTTCTCCCTCTTTCTCTTTTGTTCTATTTACTGATGTGAAATATGAAAATTTAAACTGATACATATATGTGACAGGCAGAAAACTGGCTTTAAAATAAGACCTGTTAATTAAAAATCGACTTCTTGGTCTATCGTAATGCGTCTGTGACTCACATGCGAGTATAAATACCGCACTAATTAAGTACTTTTTGGTAAACCGAAAAGTATAACTACGCTCTAGATATTGTGAGATCATTTCAGTCTAACAAATGAATTTTTAAATAATCACTGATTAAGTGTTATCACTACCACACAGTTCCGATAAAATCAACGTGATGAGTAAATGTTGGTGAACAGTCGAAGATTACTTGACAGGTGAAAGTATGTGATTATAGTTATTTTAATATAGTGAAGAGGTTAAGAACACTTTTTTCATGTGTAGATAGGTTAGGTCAGTAAAAGAACTAAAACAATCCCGAGAAACTAAAATGATTTTAACAAACAATACTGAATCGTCTTTAAATCTGATAAAAAGAGCTAGTGCCTTTTTGAGGCTACTTTCGAATTTATTCGTCAATATACACATACAGGACTGAGAGAAGTGCGCCTCCAGTGTTTTTACAACACAGTCCTCGAAACCTATATCTAAAGAAAAATGATCATACTTGCCATTGCTAGATATTTAATGGGTGCCAGGCGAAAGGTGGATATTGCGAAGGCATTTAAAATAATTAGCAGGTAGTTAACTGAGCTTTTGTTGCGCTTTTCAGAGACTATAGTCATTAATTGAATTATTTATGGTGTTAGATGTCTTTCACTTGATTGAGCCGTCTTTTAGGTATGTCAGAGGTAGTCTAATGATCCTAAGAAATTTCCAACAGATTGTCATTCATACCAATTTGCGACTTACAGTAAGCTAGTCATAACCAACAGGCAAGCTGTATTATTTCCAAATAATTACATGGTCTGTAGTCAGCTTGCCACACAAGTGAACCGTAATCCAAGCGAGTACAATAAGATAGCAGACTCCGAAAGTGGCTGTTAAGCAAACATATCAACAAAAAAACATGTAGCAGTTCGCTTCTAGGCAGAGGGTAGTTAATGTTTTAGAGGGTGATGCAGAGTAGGGTGAGTCGGAGGAGCTGGAAAAAAGAACAAATAAGGTGAGTCGAAGAACCAGGAAGTGCATACACTGCACTTACATACATTAAGGAAGAAAATGGATGAACAGCAATAAAGTAAGTCTCAGATTAGGAAAATCTTGAAGTCGAAACCATGAGCAGAGTTTGAGTGGCTACAAACACGCTTATTTGAAGTAAGCGCTATCGATGTAGTTCACAATGACAACAAAAACTATGCGGTCAAACTATCCGATGGACGGTATATACAGAGCTCAATATCTTTGTCGCAAGCTTATACATATCATTAGATTTCTTTGTGCTTGCTCTGTGTTGTTTTAGTAAGTTTTCAAGTATTTGGTAATGTCCGATAAGTGATGGTCCAACGGTAAGGCAGAAACGAACTTTGATTCAAGATTACAAATTATTTGATTGATTGATTGAATTAGTACCCTTCAATTGAGAGGGCGCTGTTACTTAGAACCTAATCAAGCTGGGAATTTATACCCATCTCGTAAAGAGATTTACTCCAGCAGAAATTACAAACAAATGATCGAGTTGAACACTATGGTAACGATTATTTATCAGCGCTAGCGTCAGCCCGCAAGTCTCACTAGACCTATCAACATTAAAACCAACTGATCAGTAGGTTGTTAAAAAGCTCTTATGTTACTAATATTCATGTATTTCGTGTAGTTAGGAAAGGTTCCGTAGTGCACGTGAATTCGTTATGACCAATTAGATTTTACGGAAAGATCAGATCATCTAACGGGATACATCATGCATTTCTCGGCTTATCAACTCTCTCTATCCAACTTGGTCACTTTAACAACAAGAAATGTTGAAAATATAACTACTTACTTTTCATCTCAAAAATAAACTGTGTTTTCACCAACGTGGTCGCTGAGGTACCGACTAGCAAGCTGCCACAGAACAACAAGCTGTGAGTTTCCAGGCAAAAATGTACCTTTTTGCAGGCTAGCGCAAACAAGATGGCTTCGTTGCACTGACGTCTAGATGGTAAGGTACGTCTTTTCGTCCTGAAAAATGACAATCTAGTCTATTGGCTGCGCGAGCCCGAGAGAGTTAAATAGTCATGTGGGTATGTCCATAATAAAGTGCGCGTGCTTGTGTTGTAGCCGAATTTCATGTCGCTTTACCAATCATGGATTTTCAGTTTGTGTGCACTAGGAGTGCTCGAGAACGGCCTTCCTTTATGTATTATGTCCCATACACTTTGGATTTCGTTCACCGAACTTTATGTTACTATATATATTGCAACTAAGTGATATCCGTAACCAAAAGATTTTTGTAACACCAACGACGTAATTGGGAAGAATAGGATTCATCTCATATTAACACATCTCACTGCGTTGGGGTTGACGATACCACGTTCTCAGGTAATCGGTGGGTCGACTGTGTGGCAAAAACTGCAAAATTGAAATCCATAGCAGGAGAGTGAAAAAACAGCGAAAAAAACTAGTTGGTTGAACAAACAAATAAATGAAAATATCAGAACACGAAATAAATAGATCCGAAAAGAGAACAAAACTTCACCCAAAATAGGATAAGAGATAAATTTAGACAGTAAATTCAAAATTAATGGTGACCGAGTCGTAGGAAATTGCGTAAAAGATGTCGCAGGCATTCAGTTCTTGACAAATCTGTTGTCTATAACGCTTAACGAGGTCAATACCGTTACCGAAGGCTTACTAAACCTCTTATTTTAAGGATTAATTTTCCTCTATAGTTCATTGTAATTTACCAAAAGGTACACAGTGTTCTTTACGTTATTATTTTTCGTTTTAGAAGCGTTCCGAGAACTTCTAAAGCTATATTTTGTCCACTTAATCCTACCCAAAATATAACTGACTTAGGAACTTTCAAATGCAATCAACAGTGGATCGTTTGGCTTGAGATATAATTGATTTATCCATCGTCTTGACTATTCAATAAAGTATCTATCCCAGATAAAATAACTTTGTTCTGAATAAATTTAAAACATGATGTTCATCAATGATTGAACGTACTAATCTCACTTTACAAATATGTCTACTGCTAGGTATAAATGTAGTTTTTGTGTTTTAAATGAGAAGCACGGACTGTGGCTGGAGAAGGAGCCGTGTATCTGCTACAAATAAACTCCCAAGGCTTCAAAAAACTTAGTTGAAATCATCAAAATGTAAAACGTCATTCATTTATTAGATCATAGTTGTCGTTAACCATTCTCCTTCCAGGTTGGTTGGTGTATCGTATGCCGTATTTGAAACCTTTTAGAATTATGGTCTATTTTGTTGTTAGTACTGCTGTTACTATATACCTAATCTCAAAATTTTATATTTGTCATGATGTGACTGCCTAATCTATAAGATCTTTCGTGGAAGTCACATCATTGTCCATACTGACTCATTGTACCGTGACAATCAACAATATAATACTTAGCACTTAGGTGGAATGTATTTTGGCTGAGGATGCAATAGTATATTTAATGTGTAAAGGTATGGGTTACGCGAGGTTGAGCCACGCCATGTTGACTGAGTGGATTGACTGTTCCGGCGTACATCATTGTCGGCCTTCTCTACGTATTAACTGTTGGTTATCAAATTTTATAGCAATTATATGCTCCACTTCAAAGGTCGTATGGTTAGGAACCATTGCCAATACAAGCTCATTTGTTCAATTGTATATGAGCACAATCCTATGAACTTGAAATTATCTACGAACCACGCACAGATATAAGCCGTGTAGAGAGCACTTATTACACGTATACCGAATTAACCCACGATGACAAAGACTCTTCTTATCTGTGTAAAAAAATATTGTATGAACCTGTTACAGTTGTGGTTTCAGTTTGAAAAGGATAGGGGGCTAGGTGACGATAATGGTGGTCCCTCAGTTGATCCGGCTTTCTTTTGCAAGGGTAGGCATATGGAGCTTCAGTCACATGTTGAGGTAATGAATTCCAATCGTTTATGATTCGATGGGAAGGTTGATAATCATCTGACAAATGATTTTTCTGGGCTTGTGAACTTTATTAGAATGTCCTCACCAATTCTCAGTTTTGAAAACCAAGGAAAATTAGGATATATGGGATGAAAATTTATCACTAATTAATTTGAAAACTGCAATCACTTCGCCTTTGGTTCTTCTGTATGGCAGTGGGAATAGGCTTAGTTTACTTAGCCGTGCATCATATGGGAGCTTTACTATTCAGGGAATCAGCCTAATTGTGATGCTTTGGACCCTTTTCAACAGCTCACTGCCTCGTTTTATGTAAGCGGTGGCTGCTTGTGTGCAGTGCTTGAGTTTATGACACACAAATAATGTGTACAGATATGGTCAATTTGGTTCTTTGTGGTGTGATCCGGTGAAGTCCATGTGGTTTTGTGAATGCGTTTGTGTGGGAATATAGTGCCGCCTATAACCAGTTTATTGAAGGCACTGAGGATGCAAACGGATGTTCTAGTTTTACAACTAGCTACCAGTAGCACCTTCTATATTCGACCGTTCCCAGTCAGATAGAAATCAGAAGTCAGACGAGTAGAGGCAGGAAAGATATATTTGATTCGTTACCAATATATCGAGGACCTTTTCTATAAGCTGGCTAATGAAACGTAGGAGCTGTGTCCCACGCCGTGTTGAAACGTGATCTGGTACGGATGCATGACCGAAAGCCTTCAGCTAAACAAGTCCAATTAAACAACGTGGTCAGCATCCAATGTCGAACACTTAATGAGCTATTGATTTTGGGGAATTATTTACAACTACAGCACATAGGTTTGCAAAGGTCTCACCATTTTCTCTCTTTTCCCTCAGTCCAGGTCGTCCCATGACGTCTTCGTATCCAGTGTTGTCCATTCCAACCTTGGCATTTAAATCTCCCATCGGAATGGTCAGGTCCTTTGTTGGGCACTTCTTGACTATCGACTGCAGCCTATGGTAGAATCGGTCTTTAACGTCTACATCTTAGTCGTTGGTCGGTGCATAGCATTGGATGACGTTCATTGTATTGCCCTCTCTCGTTGTTTTAAAAGGAGACTTTGATGTTCCTTGGTCCACGAGATTCCTATCCTATAAGTGCATTTTGTGCTTGTTTGGACAGCATCAGTGCAACTACTTTTCTTCTTCATGACTGGAGTATAACGGAAGCTCCCCTGAAGATAGTCGTTGTTGTCCAACTTGATTCCAATGTGTTTCACTGATTTCAAGCGCCTTCAGGTTGCATGTTTTCATTTCTGCCGCAATGTGGAAGACTCTTCCGGTCTCCTACATCGTCCGGACGTTCCATGTGCCTATAAAACTGTTGCTCTGGTTGTTAGAAGGTGAATCGGTCTCATGACCTCCGAAGGAACTCAGCTTTCATAATTAAACGTCATAATTATTCCTTTAACTCCCAGGGCAGAATTTTAAATGGTTTGAATAATTTTCTCTGGTAAGCGTTTTTTTTAGCGAGTTAGGTTTCTACAGGATGGAGTCACTAGCCCTATGCCCGACCCTCCTCCTTTACCTGAGCTTGGGACCAGCAGTAGCCCCCGGAGGATCTACAGGAGGAGTTAGACAGTAATTTGCATCCGGATTATGTACGAGATTTTTTTGATAAATTCTTGGATTAACACAGTGTTGTAGACAGAATTTGTATAGGTGAGACAAGAATAACCTGTTATAAAGCCATGCTGCTCTCTAGAAAGAATCTGGTTTTCGTTGAAATAACTCAATAACTTCTTTCGAATAGTCTTTGTTGAATTTTAACAATCACACTGATAAAGCCTAGGGATCCATTATTCTCAGAACTTACTACGGCGTTCTTCCAGTCTTTTGGTAATTGACTCCGGGGTACATATAGGTGGAAACTTATGCTTAATGGATTCACGACGAAATTTGCTAGTTCCTTTGGTAACCTAGGATGCATTTCAGCAGGTCCCAGTTGATGAAGGCTAGCGGCTTTATCGTCGTTATTGTTTGGGCCATTAGAACCTAGAGTTTGCGAAACTCCAGTTTTGGCTTATCGAGGGGAGGCTGAATAACGGAATAAACTTTTCAGATTAACGACAAATTTATCAATAAGCTTTACCGGGTCCTGAAGCCTTTCTTCTCTTATTGTCTTTGTGCAAATGTTTCTTATCTGTTTGCATTGTCTGCATGAGCCGTCGTTACCAGTTCGTTTGTATTCCTCCAAGCAGTGCCTTTTGCGGCTTAGCAAAACGAAGAGTGAGGTTCTTGATGACTGTAGCTTGCTTTTAAGTTTTTGGAACCATTTGAGGAATAGATTGCCTTTTAGCACAAATGATCGTGTGCAGTAAGAAGTCCCAATGACCATCCACATCAAGTTGAGCGTTAACTTCTCAGTCCACCAGCTGCAGATTGTCCTATAAAGCTGACACATCCATAAATGGTTTATTGGCTATATAAATGAGATTTCGCTTGATAAAGGTTTCGTTTATTCTAGTTGCAACCACTTGAAGCGTGCTAACAAAATTTTGGAAATTGATGATTGTACCGAACTCATTTGTTGTGTTTGTTGAAATAGCCAACTAAGTAAACGTGTCATTCTTACTTACAGCTATGAAGTTGTCCGTCGCTCTTGTTGTTGTTTCCCTTGTTTTCGCTGCGTCAGAGGTCACCGAGGAAGATGATGTACTTGTATTAAATAAAAAGAACTTTGATGACGTTATCAAAACCAATAAGTTTGTTTTGGTTGAGTTCTGTGAGTTGGCACATTTCACTTGATTGATTCATTTAGATGCTCCTTGGTGTGGTCACTGTAAGGCTCTTGCCCCAGAATACAGTGCAGCAGCCAAAAAGTTAAAGGAAAAAGGTTCGCTAATCAAACTTGCTAAAGTGGATGCTACCGTCGAAGAAGAACTTGCTTTCAAACATGGTGTCAAGGGATATCCGACTTTAAAGTTCTTCCGAAACGAACAACCTATCGATTTTGGGGGTGAAAGAGACTCCGATGCAATCGTAAACTGGTGCTTGAGAAAATCCAAACCTTCCGTGGAATATATTGACTCAATAGATAGTTGTAAACAATTTATCGACAAAGCTAACATTGCCATATTAGGATTTATCAAGGTAATTGAAAGGTTGTTGAGCTTACTCTTCAGGATACGGACTCGTTGGATCTGGCAGATTTCGAAAAAGTGGCCGACGAGTTAGATGATGCTGATTTTGCAATAGCTAATTCCAGTGAGATTTTGACTGAGTATGGTATCACGCAGACACCAAAAATTGTTCTGTTTAAAAATGTAAGTTCACTTCTAATGACTTATCATATGCAGTTCGACGAAAATCGTGTTGAATATACGGGAAAAACGCTGGAACATCTAAAGCATTTCATACAAGTGGAAAGTGTCCCTCTTGTGTCAGAATTCTCCCAGAAAACCGCTGGAGTTGTATTCGGAAGTCCAATTCAGAAACACATCGTCTTCTTCCTCTCAAAATCAACAGACCACTCGGATCTCGTTGAAAAACTGACAGAAGTTGCAAGACAATTCAAAGGCAAGGTAATTATTTGTAGGAATCACTTTATGGATCCTTCGTAGCTATGCTGTGAATGTTTTACAAAAAAACATTCAGTGTATCAGGAAACTTTTTCTCCAAGTGTTTCTACATCTAGACGCAATAGCAAACTTTTAGGCCTTCAGAGTTTTGTTATCTGATGTTTTAATATCCCATCACCCGAATGTCCTAATCCATATCCATCAACCCATACTAACTGATAATGCCTCTAGAATGCAGTGTCGAATCACCTGATTTTGAAAGTCTTCGTCTTAAGCAGGTACATGTAGAGAAAGGCGCTTCTAAATCAGGTAAACAGGTTACGCACAAATTAATATCCAATTATTGATTCTCAGTCCGTTATTATTTGTTTAGGTTTAGCGGCAGGTATAACTCTATTTATTTTTGCAGTAATGAAGTTATGCCCGTCCATGTCTCCTATTCAATTTATCACCGTATGTACAAAATCCTAAATAGCATAGATTCCCAAAACCCTAGCAAAGTCTTATGCACTAGGGTAGTCTTTTAGTCGCAAGTGTTCTTGACTTTAGTATGGTCTAGACTATACATTCTGTTTAGTACCTTTACCACGAGTATCCTAATATAATTAGTAGTGGCATTATTCAGTCTTCTAATAAAACTTGACAGTGTTAGCGTATTTCACACCAGTAATCTTATTTAATGTTCATAGAGTACTATCGAGTGATTCAGTAATAAACAAATATACCCAGACTAAACTTTCCTAGTGTCTGTGATGATTCATCATATGTTGGTCTACCAACGAGTTTGATAAAGACAACTCATTTGTTAAGGCTTGTATTATTCTTGTATTCTTACTTCCATGAAATATTCATAGGTTGTTAGGAAGACAGGTTCTTGAGTGCTTATAGGAAATTAGTGGCGTCTATCTGAAAAGTAACAGTTTTATCTCAGAAAAGTAAAATCCAGTACGATGGAACAGAGACTCCCACTTAACCAACTATTTTTATAAGCAGGGCACGACGCTTACCACACTGGTTTGTTGTAGAGTCATCATTCAATCATGTACTAGTCAGGAATCAGCTAATTATACGTAATCACGAAGTGCCATTTGGTAGTCTCTAACTAAGGTTGACAGCAGGACTTGTAGATGACGAGTGTTCAGTTCCTAGTTCTACAAAAATTCTCTTTAGTGATTAATGTGTCAATGGACACGTTTTTTCTACTAACTTCTTATTCAGAATGTTTATTTGAACCGACCATAAAGTATAGTTAGATTCTGTCTTAAGAGTGTAGAAGAATAAGATCTCGCTTCTTTTGGTGACTACATTCATGTTTTAGGATCAGCCAGTTCAGTAATAAAAACTCAATACATCTCTGCTCCCTATAACTAATGAAGTTTGGATTCTCACAATTACATAGTCCCCCTTTTAAAAACATCCAGGAATGCTTGAATATGATTTTTTTTTACTTCCTAGCTCCATGTGATATACGTCGACGTTGATGTCGAAAACAACTTACGTGTGTTGGAATTTTTCGGGCTTTCAAAAAGTGATGCCCCAACTTACCGTATTATCGAACTTGGTGAAGAAACAACTAAATATAAACCAGATACTAACGATTACTCTGTTTCCGCAATGTCTGATTTCGTTCAAAGAACAATCGATGGAAAGGTCAAACCATTCCTCATGAGTGAAGAAATACCATCAGACCAAACCGGTGCTGTTAAAGTTCTTGTTGGAAAAATTTATAACGATGTGGTTAAAGATAAATCAAAAGACGTGTTTGTCAAACTATGTAAGTGCATCATTTCAGTAGATATGTTTCAAATCTTGACATTTAGTAAATGGTATGTTTTTCCCCAGTTTTCTCATTTTATTTGGTCATGAGTTCTTGAAATAATTTCCCGTAAAAGCTTCACCTGCTTCAATACTCGGTGTCAAACTTCGTGTTGCAAACTCAATGAGTACCATTCAAAAATATATTAGACTCAACTTACATCCTTATCTTTCGAGCTTCCTGTCTTTCACTATATCTGTGTATTATTTTTAAAATAGCGCACATGTCCTTAAAATACCCTGTTCTTTAGAAGTAAATAAAACACCTATGTAACAACTGGACGGCTTTATTCAAATATTTTTTTGAAAACTTTTAGATGCTCCTTGGTGTGGTCATTGCAAGGCTCTTGCTCCAGTTTGGGATGAATTGGGTGAGACTTTTAAGAACTCAGATACGGTGATCGCAAAAATGGATGCTACTGTTAATGAAGTTGAAGATCTTAAAGTTACCAGTTTTCCAACTCTAAAGTTTTATCCAAAGAACTCGGATGAGGTATGTAAATATTGACCTTAACAATCATTCAACAAATCACTTTCACGGTCAGTGCCGAATGACTCTTTTTCATATAGTTTGAGCCACTATAGCATAGCGTACTTCTTGTTGCATTTCTTCGTTAAGTCTTAATGCCGTAGGTGGTGAATCGAGAGCTGCAAAGAATTTTGTTTTCTGAGGTATCTTGTGTTTCAGTGTGATCATTTCTGGCAAATATCTTATTTTATTCTGGATAATAGTTCTGATGTATTCACTACACAATTACATTCTGTTCCTTTAGTTGGTAGTTTTAAGATTTCGATTAGTTTTTTCTTTAGGACATTCCTTCTTTGTGTTCAGTGGATATACTGAAACGCTCGCCTCTACATGAAGTAATCTTTGATACTATCCAGAACGATGATGAAAAGTGTTCAATTAGACCATCTAGCTCTGAAAACTCAATAACATCAAAAGCAGCTACCCGGACTTCAAATCTTCATTTCAATATGTTACTGTTATCGAACTGTAGATTTTTCCTCGAGAATCACGATGCTCAAGTTCGATACCTGATGGTCAGATGTTTCATAGATTAACACTAAGTCTTTCTGATCTTTAGATCTCTGATTTCTATGAAGAAATAAAATAAGTGGTGTAACTCATATATTAGGTACAGGTTTACATACTCTACTTCAAGCTAAACAATGTATAAGCTGTGCTGATATTGCGTGACTACCGCCTATTGGCTGGAAGGTGAGTGCTTCAACTACTACACAGCTAAGCATTTTAAACAAATATTACGGAAATCTTCCAGTCTTAATCAAAATGATCTCATTTAAAAGATAGCCTTAACTCATTCATAATGATACTGAATCCTGATATTGTGATAAGCGTAAAACACTTGTAGAAATAAGAATTGTTTAAGTAATAGATCAATTAATATAAACACTTGACCTCATATCACATATTAACAAGGTGGACAGTAGTTCTTAAACATTAAACTAGTTATTTGTTTTAGGTCACCTTATTATAGAAAAACCTAGTTTTTCAAAACGTTTCATCTACTTAATTAACTTCTATGTTTTCATAGCTCGTACTAACTAAAAACTACTTCTGATTTTGAAATTCACAGGTTATTGATTATACAGGTGATAGATCATTTGAAGCCCTGAAAAAGTTTGTCGAGTCTGGTGGTAAATCTAGCGAAGCAACTAAACAAGAAGATCAAATAAAGGATGAACTTTAAAGTTGCTTCCCTTTTAAGGCTTTATTTTGCTTTTGTCCTCGTATCTCTTTTGCTCTGAAGATCTGTTTTCTCCATTTCTAATAAAAAAACAATGAGCATTAGTTTCCTTTTTGTCCATTATTACTAGTTGTTTGTAAGCACACATTTGTTTTGATGAAGTGCTATTTGACAGTGCATTTCCATGAAAATGTTTCTCGAGTTTTCTTTTTGTACCATCTTAATTGTTTTTTTCTTTTTAAGCATTTTTTGAATTCTGCTAAATTAAACTTGTTGTATTTATTTGTAAATTCAACTTGTATAGTAAACATGGAAGGATTTATGCTATATTTAGTCTTCAGATATTCCAAGTGCTACGTTAAATCTTACTAAATAGTGTTAGGGTTAGGGCCATGCTCTCACATAGCCACGCGAATATATAGCCTCTGACAGGTAAGTCCTAGTCATTGCCTTTTCGTCGATGGGGTGTTGTTTACGAAATTGAGAGGACGAAAAGCGAATGTCCGGCGCTTTAACCGGGTTGGTGGACACGGAAAGTTCACCTAGAGGAGTTGGAAAAACGTGATTCCAAACCAATGGTGCACATGGGCTGGCTCTAGGATCCTGAGGGAACAAATGGCGTATGAATCAATCATTGGTCACCGGCTACCATGGATCTGCATCTCCTCATGATGCCTTGTGGATCAGACATTTGAGTCAAAGGGTCTGGGTGTGACCCCCTAAGAAAACCACCTGAGCAGTATCACAGCCCTCACACAAATCAAATGAGATTTGTGAGGCGCATATTTATCTGGTGCTTCATTGTACCAATATTTATGTGTTTAAATAAATAAATAACTAAATAGTGTAATTAAGGTGGATTGTGATTCTTATTGTGGATATTAATGCTCATTCCTCTAAAATCAATAAATTGAGATCTCTGTTTTAAAAGGATACACCCTTCATTGGTCATTCAATCAATAGTTTTTCAGTAGTTCCCGATTCCCTAGACTGTTAAAAATTGATGTTTCTTCCCTTGTATCATTGATAGGACTACGGAGTCCTTGATTGAATTGCGTTGTGTTCCACTCAGATTGGCAACGCTCAGTCGCATATAAGATGAATTATGTGCATCGAAATATTTAAGACTAAAGACATTTGGTAGCACTGTGACTCATAAATGTTCGTATAGACTGTTGAGTTTGAAGTTAATGAATTGTTGCGCATAAGCTGTTCATATATTTATTGGATACCTCCCATAGGAGTATTTGGTAGTTTCTTAGTATCACCTCTCAAATACCAAAACCTCAAGTAACTTGATGTATTTCGCTGATGATATATATCAAGACCTCTTTTACACCCACTGAGGCGAAGTTCAAAGTATAAGCTTCTAGATATTAGTTGATGTTAGTATCTTCGCTTGAATAATAGGAGAAATACTGTTAGGGATGTATACAATTAATATCAGATTCATAGAAACTTATTAGTCAAGGTTCCAGATGACAAGTGGAATAATTAAAAGTGATAGATGCACGGGAATCCGAAGTATCATTCAGTGTTATTTGTAGAATTAATTTCTAGACATTCCAGTAAACGGAGCGAAAGGAGTCTAAACTCATGACTTCTGATAATGGAGGTCAAAACGATGTACTACGCCATTGCAGTTAATTCAGAATATAAATGCAGGGTGAAGTAAACAGCTCGAATATGATGTGAGGTGCGACGTAGAATGTTATTTATCTGTTTTGGGGACTCAACAGGGTACTCCAGGCTTGGCAGCACTTTCATTTCGAATACAGGTTCTTGCTAATACACAACAATTCTGCTCTCCGTCTTCAGGGAATTCGAATTCAAATTGGCTTTCGACAGTAAAGTTCATTCTTATTGACACCTCCAAATAACCGTCATTACATTTCATTGAAGGCGTCCGCATCAAAAAACCCAATCTAAGTCGATGTTTCATAAATATATTTGTTTCCCACCCTTGTAATATTTATTACGTTTTAATCTGGTTCAGTCACGATTTAAAAAAATTCCTGGTAGTATGTATTGTCCCTTTTTCAAACAGTCAGTACTATGGGTTTAGATTGTGAGTTGTTGATGAGAGTCTGAGAAATGAATGAATTTAACTACGCTTGTTGTTCATTTTTATTATTTATTTAAACACATAAATATTGGTACAATGAAGCACCAGATAAATATGCGCCTCACAAATCTCATTTGATTTGTGTGAGGGCTGTGATACTGCTCAGGTGGTTTTCTTAGGGGGTCACACCCAGACCCTTTGACTCAAATGTCTGATCCACAAGGCATCATGAGGAGATGCAGATCCATGGTAGCCGGTGACCAATGATTGATTCATACGCCATTTGTTCCCTCAGGATCCTAGAGCCAGCCCATGTGCACCATTGGTTTGGAATCACGTTTTTCCAACTCCTCTAGGTGAACTTTCCGTGTCCACCAACCCGGTTAAAGCGCCGGACATTCGCTTTTCGTCCTCTCAATTTCGTAAACAACACCCCATCGACGAAAAGGCAATGACTAGGACTTACCTGTCAGAGGCTATATATTCGCGTGGCCATGTGAGAGCATTTGTAGAGGGAGAGCGGACTATCCCCACTCTCGGCCGTACTAGGGCATTTGGATGTAAAGTGCCCACATCATGAGGCCTCGCTGAGATCCGAACTCGGGTTGCCAGATTCAGAGTCCGAAGTGCTCACGGCTACACCACGAGGCCACATATTTTATTGAAATTTAAGAGGTTTAAATTATTAATACAGTAATACCTAGATCCCTACCTCAATTACAAGGAATTTTTCGTCTATGTCAGAGAAGGTGCAGTTTTCATACAATAGCAACGTAATTTTAGTATTATATTTCTCTCGGTTCTAAGGTAATTCTAATGTGATATTCAACAAAAGGCCATAGTATTTTTTCACTACGCTGGACCCATTTAAATAGTCCGAGTTAAATGTTTTACATGCCTTTGTGTTACTAAGTATGTAGGATTTGGACATCTGCGATGTTCAAAGTCACTATATGTATAAATTGGTAGTAAGAAAATATCCATGAGAAAGGTACCATTCATAGTATTATTTATTAGCAAAGCGTATCTAGAACAACAACATCACGAACTGATACTAATATAAAAATACAGTGGTCTAAGAAGTTAGGAATTATAGGACAATGATATGAACAATGACTTCGGGTAAGACTATTCCGAAAGTTCAACTTTACTCAATATTCAACCTGATATATAAGTGCTTTAAATCATCGTAAGTTTTGTTTTCTCTTTATTGCTTTTTACTGATATTAGAAGTGGAAACTTCGAATGATGTACCTTCATCTCAGATTCCGCGTCGTCTATGATTGACTAAAAGGGATTTGTAAGTACATGTTTCAAAATCGCTGAGGTCGTGCTGTGATGTATGTTATTTATACAGACAGACATAGGTAGTATGTATCAATAATTGAAAGTAGGATTCTTACTAGCATAAGAGGAACATAGTAGAAGAGAAAGGAAAGCACAATGAATCCCAGCAGCAACAGGAAAAGGAGAACGATGTAGGGTGTAAAAGACAATTTAAAGAAGATATACAAATGATCTACTCTATGTGTTGTTTTCATATTTTATAAGTGCAGTGTATGATCTTGGTTAATACAATAAATTGGCTTACCGTATCTCAATCTTCGTTCACTTCAGTGCTACGTAAACAAAGTATTAATGACTTGGATTTTTCATGTTCTCATCAATAACTGATTCTTATGTCAGTCAAATTTTGAAGTTAGTCTCTTCGTTGTAGTAAATCGTGCTTTTGAGATGGTCGAGATTCGTAGCTTATATGGATGATTTCGGTGGAGTTTTGTTGCCTGAGCTAGATGGTTGTGCTGATGATGTCTTTTAGAAAAAAGATGAAAGCTCCACGACCAAACCATCCAGCTTAGACAACAAAACTCAAATACTTGTAGATCATTCACCTTCTCAAATGCTAATTAACTGATATGTTTAAAATTTCATAAGTTACTCTTGATCATAACGATAGAATAGACTTTATCGAATATGTATAAAGTAAGATCACTGTAAGTTGTCTTTATTGTCTTGGAATTGCCTTGTAAATCAAGTTGGTTGAAGAAATATATAAAGGTACTTGATAATGGGGAAATGATCTGTCCTTTTCATAAACCAATACTTTCATAGAACCTAGTGCTCCATATAACAAAATACAGAAAATGTATGGAATAAGAATGTATAGTCAAACGGTTCTATCACTGAAATTTTTAGAATTATGTGTATTTATGAGTGCGGGATCGTGGGTGTGCACTGCTGAGGAGTCCCATAATAGGACGAAACGACAGTCCAAGTTTTCCATGTTGATCTAGCTTCAATTGACTCATGATTTCACCTATGAAAACACTGAAATCTCCATGAAACCCCTTCTGATCTATTTATGACTAATCAAAAAATAACTTTTATATTTATTTGTTTGAATCAATAAATATCGATACAAAGGGGCACCGAATACATATGTCCCACATAAGTCACTTGGTTAATGTGTGGGCTATGATACTGTCCGGGTATCCAGACTGAAACAAGTGGATTTCGTAGGGGACTACACCCAGATCATTCAGCCTAAAGGTCTGATCCACAAGATAGTTGAACAACATTATGAGATGTAGCCGGGTGACCAACAATTGGTCCATACGCCACTTGTTCTTTCGGTATACTGGAGCCTATGTTCACCATTGGTTTCGAATCAAGAATTGCCAACTCCTCTAGGTGAACTCTCTGTGTCCACTGACCCGGTTAAAGCGCCAGACATTCGCTTTTCGTCCTCTCAATTTCGTAAAAACACCCCCACCTTGATAAGGTAGTGAAAAGTACTTCTCGGACAATGACTGTATACGTGTAGCCATGTGAAAGTATTTCGAGAGGGAGAGCTGAATCTTCCCACCTTCAGCCGTACCAGGTAAATGTAATCATAAATTGACAAATTCTTCCTGTTTTAGTTTAATCATTTATTCGAATATAAAATAAATGGACATTATTTGAATTCTTGAGTAATCAAGAAACACCTTTGAATTTACAAGCATTATAATCAAAGATGGATAGTGGCTGGCAATGGAATCTTGGACGCACGTTTTGTCCTATTTTGAGACTCGTCAGCTGAATGTACCTGCATCTCAGACTTGTTGATGTTCACTCTGCGATGGACTCGAACCTAATGTCTTTCGCTTCAATCGCCATCGCGTTATTCACTTAACTACTTAGTCCTGATAGCCATTTGCTTGTGCATGATCTAAAATTATTATGATCAGATTTGTATAATTAACCATCAGTAATTTAGAGATATTATAGTTATTCCTGAAAGTCTGCCAAAAATTTACTACTTTATTAACCAATATCATTTATTGATGAATTTTCAACCAATCAAACGAATGCACGTAATATCGTTTCTCAAGGTCAATGTACATACACTTCCGCTAACTTTAAACAAACAATAATTAGTCAATATTTTATCGATTTAACCTTAAATAGCCTCTTAACCAAGGTTATCTAAGATGGTATATTTCACTAGTCTTAATATTCCAATTCTACGTAAACCAAATTATGGTGTGTGTTATTGATGTTGACAGATATAAGTAGTATGTATCGAAAAAGAAATGCCTGGCGATAGAAGGTTAAAAAGATCGAAGAAAAGTAAACGAGAACAGAGAATGATTGGTATGAAAACGAAGGATTCGATGTATAATTGTATTAAATTAAATGTAATTCAATTCCTCTGGGGATCTCTATCAAGAAAGCTTCTATATAGACACATAGATATATCATTATATAGTATAGATAAAATATGGGTAGCGTTGGAATTCAGGATGCACTTTTCGTCTTACCTGGAGCTCTTCAGCTGGATGTGCTTACATCCGAGTTGATGTTTAACTTGGGATTTGGACCCAGTACCCTACAGTTCAAGCGACAATGCGTGAACCACTTAGCTACTGAACTCAGACAATCACTCACTTTGCAATATGTATAAATTTTAATTTTATGAATTCCTCGATTGAACCTAAACTCTGAGATGCAGTTACATCCATCTGATGTGGGCCAATTAGGAAGAAGCGTGCATCCTGGATTCGACTCCTAGTCACATTCCATCTATTCTATATGAACTTGTGCCATAAAAGCTATATTGAGACAATCTACACAAGATGAACATATCCCAATTAGGATTGATCATTCATCGCAAAAATTTGAAGTGGAACTGAAGCAACGACAAAACTAGTTTACGGATAATTCGCATTGCATGTACTGAAGGCTGAACTGTCCTCGCGAATATCGAAAACGTATGTGAAATGTAAATGACAAAAACTTATTTATGAAACCTGTAACGAATTGAAAATTCAACATCGAAATCAAATAATGCGTGGCCCTAAAAAGGATCTTTGTCGGTTTCAACTCCGCACAAATGTAGTGCAAGTTTGGATGTACTTCGTGATCGCAGTAGCTATCTCTGGTGGGTCGTCCATGATATTGTTGGTTAAGCTCTTGAAGAATGGCAGAAATCATGACAGCACAGACAAAATTTCACGACTTATAAGGTATACGCAAACAGGTACTGCCATTGAATTGATGTCCAAATTCACGATCTGATACAAAACCAAATTTCCGTTACTGGTTTTGCAGGTCCCATTAAAACTTACAACATCAAGGGAACAATATGTTGATCGAAATTTGAAGAGGAAAATACTGAGGATCATTTTCTTCTTCGATCTGATACTCGCAAAACGGACCAAGTGACGTGCTATGAGACTTAACTTTGGTATAATCAACTACCACAAACAATATTAATAAGCATATTGCTTACCTAGGAGACTGGCCTGCGAAAATAATTTATAACGCATGTTAAAAAAATCTTTAGGATTCAGGCATTTTCCTTAAGATTGTTATGCAAAGTGTAAAACATTTAATGTTGCTGTTCCTGAAATCAGAAGAGGTCGAACGGTTTCGAACTCTATATCAGTTAACCTAAGCATACACGAATTATTGTCGTATCTCAGGCAAGTAAATTTATTTTCATAGTTGAAATCATGAGTCATTTGAGGCTAGACCACCGTGGAAAACCTAGAAGCACTGGACGGCCGTTTCGTCCTATTATGGGACTCTTCAGTGGCAGTGCGCATCCACGATCCCACACTCGCGAGATTCGAACCCAGGACCTACCAGTCTCGAGCCAGAGTCCCATAATAGGACGAAAAGGCCATCCAGTGCTTCCAGATTTTCCATGGTGGTCTAGCTTCAATTGACTCATGATTTCAACCATGAAAATACTAAATTCTCCACAAAATCCCCTCTAATTAAATGTATGTTTATGATGCACATTCACCCGAACAACAGTCAAGTCAATAAACTTACAACAAATGAACGCCGGATATTGAATCTTTTTAATAACCATTTGGCAGAAATATAATAGCACAGATCAACTGATCTTCTTCGACTAATAGACTGTGTGGATCCATTGGGTATTCTAACACCATTTCTCCAACATTCAAATTCTATATATTGCTTCTGATTCTTGTGGAAATCAGAATCATAAACCTCATAGTCACTGAATGTTCCCCTTTCATAATCCCTGATAGCGCTCTCTAATTTACTTAGGAATACGTCATTGGTGTCTGTGGCAGTGTTCGAAACAATGCATCGAGTAATTTGTATGTTGTTTATGTTCATTGTTTGGAGTAAAGGAGAGCAATGGAGAAATATTCACATTTTATATAACTTTCCAGAAGATAACAACTACTAATTACCATTTTAAAGTTATTTGTCTCATTGGACATAAAAGCACGGAAGAAATCTTTATTAATAAAATACAAAAATCACTTTGCCGTAAATGATGATCAATCAATGTTGACTAATATACCTATCCACATACAAAAATGGTCGAATATAGTTTAACTACTGATTATTATTAAGTAGTGCAGTTAAGACACAAAAAGAACAAACAATAGATAAATGAAATTAGTTGCACAAAATAGATTTCACATCAAAATAACAACTAGGATTATGTGAGCACTCGCTAAACGGTAATCTGTTGTCACGTAGGTTCATCTAAGGCTATCCCATTGACAAGTGAACATCACATTCTCAGTATCAATATCCACTACTCACTACATCACAACTGATATAGTGTTGACCAATATGATCTGTTCGGTTATTCCATAGTCAAACAGACACAAAGGGAAAGGTTTACTACAAGTGTGAATTTTCAATTTCCTATCAATTTTTCTCCCCTCTAGTTACAGTAGAAGACGTGGAACGAAACGATTCATACCATAATGAATATTATAATCATAAATGATATATATACGTACAAATAAGCTTCAGAAGATTCTCCTTCCTTTTACCCATACACATTGATAAAAATGATTTCCTTTCCTTTAGTTACCATCAGCACGTTTTTAGAAAAACAAGAACGGCAAGAAGAAGAGAATGTATTCAAAGAAGAAGGTAAGCAAGAAAGAAATACATAAATACCCTAAAGACAAAAACGAAAAACATGCACTGAAAATAATCATTGAAAACGAAGGAAAATCACCTCCATAAAATATTAGGTTAACGTATCGCAAAAATCGATGATTGCCCCTCTGACAAAAACAGCAGCTTCTACCCGACAAACATCAGTGCATTGCGATCATCGCACACACCACCAATGCTTACTTGTCAGTGACCACACCCTACCTCCTCCCATTTTAAATGTTGCACTCCTTTGGAGTGATGCGTCGATTACAAGTATATCACACCCCAAGACTCACTTTGCAGACCCTCTTTCAAAACACAATTACTACAAGTGTCATGTACAAGTATATTGTGCAGTTAAAGCACGTGGATCGTTGACGAAAAATAGAAATAGTGTTGTGCACTAGCATTGGATAATGTATGAGATCGCCGACAAGATATAAGTTAATATGAACAAATGCATGTATGTCTATATATTTTAAAACACGTGTCATGCTTTTCTTCAGTGTCAATGTGACGGAAGGTGGACAGGAGGAGGGAGAGAGCATGAGTGAGACAGAAGCAGAAACAACAATTCATCCACTGCCTCCATCAACTAAAGGTTAGTCTTGCTTTGACAATCACATTGTGTGTGTGCTTCATACTCTTAACGAATGACAACTGTTTCACGCATCGAAGCGAGATGGTTCACATCGCACTTTGCATCCCGTCCAACACTAGGCTCCATACAATAGACATTGTTGCACTGCTAACATGTCCGCAAATTATTCGACGGACGGTATTGTTCACTTCTCCCAACATCTCGATACTTGCCGACTGCAATCGGAGCTCATTATCAGGTTGAAGCGTCTTCTTATCTCGAAATGGTTGCATGGTGTTTGTGGACAACTAGTCCACAGTTTCCAGTTATATTTTATCAAATTTATTCTTCGTGTTATCATTGAGTTTGTGTTTTTTTGTTACCATCGTTCACATATGTATTTTATTGACTTACATCTTCATCTCATATATACTTTAATTCTTATACACGACTTTTCTCTCGAAGTTCTCAATGGTACAATCTTTCTTATAATCTTGTTTTTATAAATTTCTTATATTGATTTAGCCGGGGTGTTTTTGTTGTATATTTTCATGCAAATTCATATCACAACCTAATGTTTTGTGTACTTTCTATTGATTTTGATCCGTATCCATTCTCATTCTTTTATCTTTTTTTGCCTTTCATTTGTATTTAGTTCCCGATCATCGAAATGTTGTTCATATAAGCGGTATCGCAGTTTTTCGTTCACAATATCCAACTTCTCAGAATCGATCTTGTCATAGCAATATTTTGTTTAAAAGAGGTTAGTTCACTTCTTTTTCTTTTTTACGTTACTATCCAGGTAATCCATGTTTATTGCTTCATGCATATCATTAAGGCTCTAAGTTTTGAATACATTCACACCTATATATTTTCTGCAGTTATATATCATTCTCATTTTGTGATGTGTGGGCTAGAATGATAATGATCGGTTGTTTTGCTGCGTGAGATATGTAGATAGTGTGACAGGTGTTTTATGTACTGTATACTCCCCTATCCTGACCATCATTGATTAACTGTTCTTTGTTGTTGGATTGTGTCGGATTTTGGTGTAGAAATATATTGACATTCTAGTCGGGCTAATCTTGTGTTCTTGATCTGAGTTGTGTTGAAGTCCTGTAGAATAGAAACCGGAAGGGAATCTAGTGTAGATATTCGTGCAAGGTAAATTAAGTTCCAACACATATGTGTAAAAAGTGAAAGGACTGTTATAACAAGTATCCTACCGTTCATAACATTTTGTTTTTAGAATGTTAAAAATTCGATAACTTAACATTTCTTAATTCTTTTTTTTGCTTTATTATCTAGATCGTTTTCTGATAATCTTTTCAACTGTCTTTATTCTGTTTGCGACGTTTAGTTTGGTGACTCTCTGGTTGTTATGCAAACATTTAAAGAGTTCTCGTTTCACATCAAAATAACCTTATCTTTTCTTGATAGTTATTTTTATTGTTTTCTTAGTTCAATAAAGGTTTTCATTATCAAACTGATATGATGCTTCTGTTCCACCTTCATAATACTTTTAAGAATAGCAATGCAGTTACGCGAAGTTGACGTTTTGGCTGGTCTATTGTGATTGCATATTTAATGCTATATGTCTACACTTGAAATCGTCATCAATAAACCACCTTACGGACAAGTGTTAATGCTCAAAGCTAAAGATCTTGAATTGGAGTTTCGCGTGCGGAACTGTAGATTCCGAATAATACTAGTCAAATTTCCATTATCCAGCATTTATGTAGCGAGCTGATATGAATTGTGAGTTTGAAATAATATAAAAATATAGTTCTAATGACTCTACAAGACATAATTAAGAACCAAAATTCGAGGTACGCAGTACGGAATCGTATTTTACTGTTACTATAGATTTGAATACAACATAAAATACTTAACTGTACAGTAAATATGCCGCTGATTCACTGTACGACCTCATTAATTTCGATTGTATTTGCATCTTTACAATAGTAAATGGTTATAGACCATTTGTGTTGTCCTACGAGGATCTTTACAGTTAATCTCCATTGTAGTTCTGTTGGTTTAACAAATACTTCATGGTCAATTGATCGTAAAAGTGTCAAATAATTTTTCCATGCGTTGTTACGATTTTTCGAACTGAGAGTTATCGTATGAATGGGGATGAGTCTAATCGTTCAAATATTGTCAGATTAGCGGGGTTGGCAGTGTGAAGACGAGGAGCAGAAAGAAGAGAAATTTAAGCATAATGCAAGATAGCATTTATAAAACGCAATATATAGCCGGCGCTTAAAGTCTTAATGATCAGAGATTTATGATAACGCTCCAGACCGCTTCTAAAAATAAAAATTCGTGTTTAATTTCCTATCAAATATTCAGTGCAATATTAGAAGCTTCAGAGAGTGAGCTTAAGTCAAAAGTAGCGAAAGATCCCTTTTAATAAGGCATGTAGAAGTTGGTAAGCCTCCATAATATTAATATGTTCAAAGAGTTTGATATTCGTGCTGACCATATAAAAATAACTGGCAGCACCACTAACTAAAGAAAGTTGCCCAGGTGACCACATTGGATTATACTTCCATTCACTTCAAAGGTACACACCACGTTACCTTTGCATAAATCAAGATGTAATTCCTCTAACAACCACACTCGTCTTCTTGGCTTTGGGATGATTTCATAGAAAAAGAGACTCGAACAGCAGTGCTTTCGGACGTTTCTATATGCGAACTTTCTTTAAATAACAAACAACAAAGTGATAATCCCTATAGAATATTGTAGCTGTAAATAATTCCCAAAATCAATAGATCATTCAGTGTTCGACATTGGATGCTGACCACGTTGTTTAAGTGGACTTGTTTAGCTGAAGTCTTTCGGTCATGCATCCGTACCAGATCACGTTTCAACACGGCGTGGGACACAGCTCCTACGTTTCATTAGCCAGCTTATAGAAAAGGTCCTCGATATATTGGTAACGAATCAAATATATCTTTCCTGCCTCTACTCGTCTGACTTCTGATTTCTATCTGACTGGGAACGGTCGAATATAGAAGGTGATACTGGTAACTAGTTGTAAAATTAGAACATCCGTTGCATCCTCAATATAATCCCAAACTTGGTGGTCTCACTTATATCTCTGTTCTCATTCATACCGATATATTTACATAATCACGCCTTTTATGTCATGCAGTCTTCAAAGCAGCGATGGTACTTTGATACGTTGAAGGTGTAATCCATGTTAGATACTGACGACGAGGTGTGACTTCAAAGTTAGCTGTTTAGTCACACCATTCACTTCTAACTTGGGTAGGCCCTCAATCATAAGTGATCTACACCTCGTTCGTTTTTTATCTATTCACTCCCCCTCTTTGTTTGCACAATACGATCTGAATAGAAATGAACAGAAGCTAGACGTCATGCTCGTGTTTTTCCTAACGGTAAATGTTTCAATGACATATAAAATTAAATCTAGTAGTTTTTTTCAGATATTTTATGATAAATTGAGGGGATAATATGGGACAGTTTACATCAAGAGATATCAATATCGAACTATTTCTTGGCCCCATACTGCCTGTGAATAAATTTAAACCTGTGATGATTTTTACTTCGCAAATTATTTATTATATTCCTTATTTAACTTTTATACAAATACTACTGGATACCCTCAGTAACCGGTCCTTGTGTACAGCATAAAAACATTACAGGGCTCTATTGACTGATAATGTGTGCTGTTAGGATAACTTGATAACGTGTTTGCGAGTTAATCCTAGCCTGATTGCAATGCCAAATACAGTACGTCCGACTGTGCTCAGGTAGTTCTTTCAAACTCGAATGCTTGTCAATATGTAACTAGTAGAGTATGACATGAATAGTTCCTGTTGACATACTGATCTTCATTCCTGTAAATACACTGTGAATTACTATCTACGAAATAACTGAAAAGTCCAACTCAACGCTAACTGAATGCTAATGATACTATTTAGAAGGGAGCGAACGTTTCACAGTCAAACCATTGGATGCACAGAACAGAATACCACCGAAATACTGAATTTCGTTTGGGTACACGGTACCTCACTGAACTAATGTGAACTTTGGGGTCTGTTAAAAAGCCTGTTTTAGATGAAATCCGAAAATATACACATTCGGAAGACTTACTACTTACCTGTGAACTTCAGAAACCCAGAGGAGTTCACTGAGGCATTGCAAGTCTGGTGAGGCTCAAAGACGACCTCTACAGTAACACCAGATGTTATGACAGCCGATAGTGTTAGGTAAGGCAAAGACAAAAAACGCAAGTGAAACAAACAACCATACAGAACACAGAGACCACGGACTCGCTAATGAGACACGCTAAATAGCCCCAAACCTACAGTGGTCAGTTCGCATGAAACTGGCCAACACACTTTAATCAACAGTCTGTTTAAAATGCGGATGACTCATGCTTCTGGTGAGGAGCAGCGAAGTGACCACAGCCTCATCAATGGGTAGCTTTAAGAGGGGACTTGACAAAAATATACTCACCCATGGTTTATCACTTCTCCTTGGACCGGCTGTGTTTGACCCACGTCTCGTAGCCAAACTACTGGTGTCATCATCACACATAAGTAAATAGCGCTCATCTCACTTTAAGTATCATCTCTGTTTCCACTTTCACCCTCACATGTTGGCTTCCTCACAATGTGCATCGCCAATTAACTGACTTAGTTATTTAGTCATTTATCTATCTACCTCTTAAAACAACCATCTCACAGCATTCCAGTTTTCACTTCATTACATTTCACGTTGAAACCCACCTAACTCCTACCTGGTAGTGTAATAATTACAAGTATCCAGGGACCCTTCTTCTCTGATACAAACGCACTCACTTAAATTAGAAGACTCATAAATAACCATCAATCTGACTAAAGCTGCTGGAGTTGAGTGGCTGAGCTAAAGCCTACTGGACACTACCAGAGACCTGGAAGCGTACTGAGACGACAAGAAGTGGAAGCAAACAAACTAACGGTTTTGTACAAGGTCGTCACGAAGAAATTGGATATTGGATATCGAACTTACCAACCGTACGACTGTATCGTCACCGCGGCAACCTGTCTATTTGTTGCGCCATAGATAATGGTAAGCGGGTGGTTAATTATCATTTGTTTATTCTATCAACTAGTTTTATCTCCTTACTATCACCTTATAAAGTAGTTGCAACTGACATTAAGTATAAATTTGTTAGTGTGGATTAGAACTTACCAAATATTTAATCTATCTGTTCAGCATACTTCATATCTCACACGATCTGTATTAGTGTTATACTTTAAAAGCATATCGTCATTTAAAAGTGATATTTATCACCAAGTCTTAAACTCATCATGAGCCGACTCCAATGCTCTAGATATATGTGGTTTGTATTACCGATGACGTCACCAAAAGACAGAACTAGGTTATATAAGCACATATGTGAAGATATCTGGTTTTAAGAAAGTGTGAAGTGTCCACCATTGAAAAGAAACAATAAATTATCTGAATCTCCGGATCGCTGTTAAACATCTTATGAGTAATCGCAATCTACTTGATTCCTTCGCTCCTGGTTCTGTCAAAAAAGGTATAAGGACTTTAGCAACAGCCATTGTATTGTGTCTGGTAAGACAATTAAAGTAGTGATTTCCAAAAATAGTTCGGTGTTGATCGATTTTTACTGCAAGTGAGTTTGTTCCAGGGTAATTAGGCTTTTTAAAGCCAGATGTCACTATAAAACCGTTGATTGGATGATGTATAGCTAATTGTATAAGGGCAGAATTAATGTATTTTCTAGATGTTCACCAAAGAAAACAGCGTTGAGAGGTGACTTAACTAGGACTGCTGCAGAAGCAAGTCGTTTAGCAACTACCCATGTTAAATAATGAACCGCTTCACTTTCTCATGGCCCCAGTACCATCAGGTCCTTTGACCTACAGAAATATATATGTGTCTACCCACTCATCATAGTTTCTCTCCTCAGCACTGAGTTAATTAGCATTGACAGTTAGTACTTTGTACACTTGAGTGATCCTAAATCATGTAGGTTCAGTCTTCGACGAGTTTATTATTTACGTTTAAGTTCTTGTTTAATGTATCTTTTTTTCTTCAGTTACTTCACCTTGAGTAATGTCTCAAACATTTCAATGGTTGAAACTTTACACTCCTCTAAATATCTCTACTGACCATAACTAGGTATGTACTCCATGCTTCAGTGGCTCTGTGGTTAGTGTTCTATTTTCAGCTACTAAGTCACATGTTCGGACCTCGCGCCATTGCTATGGGATTGTTAGCTAAGTTTATGGTATACTTTCTTTACTAAGTAATACAGCAGGTCACTTGTAATTTGAAGAATATTAGAACTGTAATCTACTCATCCATAAAGTTATATAAGAACTTGAAGAAACTTATAAAGTTTGAACAAAAACCAGTGTTTATTTGTAATTTTCCACTTCACCCAACTTTTTCACGAACATATTAGTGAATAACATCTCATAACAACCATGGAGTCCATGATCGACGTAGTTTACATTCAGTAAACGTTTGTCTAGTGAATATTTCAAAAGAATCTAAAAACTTTGCATGCACTAAGTTTATCTAAATCTGTTGTAGTTTACGTGCAGGAAACAATACCTTAAAACTAGCTGCTCTGAAACTCATTGCTCCATGTTTCTCAAAGGCGAGTACATAAACTTGTACTAGCTGAATGAGTTGGTTTAGATAAGCAACACCAATTCCACTCTCGAGTCTTCAATATATATTAAAGTTTTGTTTGGCGTTTAGCAAATGAATTATTTTTAGCTATAGATACGTATTCTGATCCTTAGTTAAAATTAAAAGATCTTATTGTGATTGCTCACCCGGCGTTATTTAGTGACCGTGACAAATATATATTTTCAAACTGATGTGTCCCACATATATGTAATCACTTTTCAATGTTAGAACCCGAAATTGAATGTTGTAATTTCAGTCAATCCCAACTTAGAGCCTAGTATGCATGTAAATCAGTTCAATTCGGTATACCCCATTAACAGCGAAATATGAAACTGCCAAGCTAAACCCCAGAATAGTAGAGGTAGTGATAGCATGAGTGGTGATTGAAAATATCAGGCATCGAAGATACGATTCAAGAAAATGTAAATTAGTAAAATCAAAACATAAGAAAGTTACGAAGAATTCGGGAGAAGACAAAGATCGGATATATCTGCATCATTGCAAACGATTTTGAGCCATATTATTCAAAGTCTCTAACCATTAGTTACAGGAACCGCGCAGACCCCAACCAGGTAGTTTATACGCTCTAACATGGTTCAGTTCATTTGTCGATGACTCTATAGACTGGTGTCACATCTCCGTCTGACAGCTCCTAGTTTTTTGTCAACCTATTCCTACGCCAGACAACATTGGGTGTCAAGAGAGACAATAGTTGGCCATACGAAATACATGTCCCAACTATTTTAACAGATAAGGATTCACCACCTCATCAACCTATTTGTCCTGTTTACCTAATACCCTATGTCTAACCTCTAGTCTCATCTACTTATTACATTTACGTTCTATGCTTTCTTTCTGTATTTCTTTTTTTCTACAATCCCTCTGTAGTACTTACTTGCTTACTTACGCCTGTTACCCCTCGTCGAGGAGCATAGGCCGCTCACCAGCATTCTCCATCCAACTCTGTCCTGAGCCTTCCTTTCCAGTTCTTTCCAGTTACTATTCAGCCTTTTCATATCGGCTTCTATTTCCCGGCGTAGTGAGTTCTTTGGCCTTCCTCTTTTCCGCTTTTCTTCCGGATTCCAAGTTAGGGATTGAGTCGTGATGCACATTGGTGATTTCCTTAATGTATGTCCGATCCACTTCCAACGTCTGTTCCTAATTTCCTCTTCAGCTGTAAGCTGGTTTGTCCTCTCCCATAAAACGCTGTTGCTGATAGTATCCGGCCAATGGATGTTGAGTATTTTGCGTAAACAACTGTTTATAAATACTTGTATCTTCCTGATGATGGCCGTAGTAGTTTTCCACGTTTCAGCTCCATACAGTAGGACTCTCTTGACGTTCGTATTAAAGATTCTGACCTTGAAATTGATTGAGAATTGTTTTGAGTTCCATATGTTGGTCAATTGTAGAAATGCTGCCCTTGCTTTGCCAATCCTCGCCTTTACATCTGCATCCGATCCTCCTTGTTCATCAACGATGCTTCCCAGGTACTTGAATGTTTCCACCTCTTCCAGAGTTTCGCCATCAAGTGTGATTGGGTTGGTGTTCTCCGTGTTGCATTTGAGAATCTTGCTTTTTTCTTTGTGAATGTGGAGGCCTATCGATGCGGGGGCTGCTGCTACATTTGCGGTCTTCATCTGCATTTGTTCGTGTGTATGAGAGAGGAGGGCTAGGTCATCTGCGAAGTCCAAATCATCTAATTGATTCTGAGCTATCCATTGTATTCCGTATTTCCTTTCAGATGTCGAATTCTTCATAATCCAGTCAATCACTAGAAGGAAGAGGAATGGGGAGAGTAGACAGCCTTGTCTGACTCCGGTCCTTACTGGAAATGTATCTGTCGGCTGTCCTCCATGCACCACTTTGCACTGTAGTCCATTGTATGAGTTTTGGATAATGTTGACGATCTTTTCAGGAACTCCATAGTGTCGAAGAAGTTTCCATAATGTTCTCCTATCCACGCTGTCAAACGCCTTCCCATAGTCAATGAAGTTGATGTATAGTGATGAGTTCCACTCAACTGATTGTTCAACGATGATCCGTAGTGTCGCAATCTGGTCTGTGCACGACCGATCCTTACGGAATCCAGCCTGTTGATCCCTAAGTTCGGCGTCTACTGCGTCTTTCATCCGATTCAGCAGCACTCTGTTGAAAACTTTTCCTGGTACTGATAACAAACTGATACCTCTGTAGTTCTCACATAGGCTCAGATCTCCTTTCTTTGGTATCTTGATGAGATATCCTTCTTTCCAGACCGTTGGCACTTGTTTCTCTTCCCAAATCTTCTTGAATAGAAGGTGAAGCATGTTTGCAGTTATTTCAATGTCTGACTTCAGTGCTTCTGCTGGTATATTGTCAGGTCCTGCCGCCTTCCCACTTTTGATTTGTCTGATGGCCATCTTGACTTCTTCGATGGTTGGTGGAGTGACATCTATTGGAAGGTCAGTGTGGGCTGCTTCGATGTTCGGTGGATTCAATGGGGCTGGTCTATTCAGCAGTTCCTCGAAGTATTCTGCCCATCTTTTCCTCTGTTCTTGAATCTCAGTGATTGTCTTTCCTACTTTGTCCTTGACTGGTCTCTCTGGTTTGCTATATCTCCCTGCCAATTTCTTCGTTGTATCATATTCCCTTCTCTTGCAGCTTTTTCCACCACCGTTGCTAGTTCTCCCATGTATTTCCGCTTGTCGGCTTTAATGCTTTTCTTCACTTCCTTGTTTTCTTCTGCGTAGTCTGCTTATGCTTTGACTTTCTCTGCTCGTTTTCGGCTGTTGTTAACTGCTAGTTTTTTGTTCTTTCTTTCTCGAATTTTGTCCAGGGTTCCCATAGAGATCCATTCCTTGTGATGATGCTTCTTAGGACCAAGAACTTCCTGACACGTTGAAGTTAGTGCTTCTTTTATCCCTTTCCAGTTGTCCTCCAAAGTAGTTTCTTGTTCTTTCAGTAGATCCTGTAGAGCCTGGAACCTGTTGTTGAGAGTTATCTTGAATTCATGGAGCTTGTCAGTATCTCGAAGGAAGGCTGTATTGAACCTTTGTAGTGCTGTTTGTCCAGTTATCCAGTCTTTCTTAAGCTTCAGTCTCATCTTGGCCACAACCAGGTGGTGATCTGAAGCTATGTCAGCTCCTCTCCGGGTTCTCACATCTTCCATTGATCTTCGGAATTTTTTGTTGATACAGATGTGATCTATCTGGTTCTCTGTGGTGTGGTCCGGTGAGATCCATGTAGCTTTGTGTATGCGCTTGTGTGGGAATATTGTGCCGCCTATAACCAATTTGTTGAATGCACATAGGTTTGCAAGTCTCTCCCCATTTTCATTTCTCTCTCCTAATTCATGTCGTCCAATTACATCTTCATATCCTGTGTTGTCCACTCGAACTTTAGCATTTAGTTCTCCCATCAGGATGGTGAGGTCCTTTCGTGAGCACTTCTCTATAATTGATTGCAGCCTTTCATAGAACTGATCTTTATCATCGTCGTTGCTATCATTGGTGAGTGCATAACATTGGATAACGTTCATTGTGATCCCTTGCTTCTTTGTTGTGAATGATGCTTTGATTATCCTGGGTCCATGAGATTCCCATCGCACAAGTGCATTTCGTGCTTCTTTGGACAGCATTAGAGCAACTCCCTGAGTGTGTGGAGCATTTTCCCTTTCGTGACCGGAGTACAGCAGCATCTCTCCTGTACCTAGCCTTTGTTGTCCAGTTTGTGTCCAATGGGTTTCGCTGATTCCGAGTACTGCCAAGTTGTATCTCCTCATTTCCATTGCTATTTGGCTGGTCTTTCCTGTCTCCTACATTGTCCGGACGTTCCATGTACCTATGTTGATTGTTGCTCTGGTTGTTAGAAGGTGCATCAGTCTCGTGACTTCCGAAGAATTTTGGCTTTCATCATGAGACGTCATAATTATTCGTTCAACTCCCAGAGCAGAGTTTAAATGGTTTGAATTATTTTTTCTGGTTAGCGTTTTTTTAGCGAGTTAGCTTTTCTACGGGATGGGGTCGCTAACCCCATGCCCGACCCTCCTCCTTTACCCGGGCTTGGGACCGGCAGTAACTCTAGAAGAGCTACAGGCGGAGTTCCCTCTGTAGTACATAAGTAATTTTCACCTCCCATTAATTCAGGTAGACAAATCAGTTTGTTTTTGTTATATCCGGATAAAGGATAAGTGAATGGCAACTGTCAGGATCTATTTATGAACTGCCGTTATATATATATATATATATATATATATATATATATATATATATATATATATATATATATATATATATATATATATATATATATATATATATATATATATATCAATAAGTCGGTGTTCTAATTATCGATTTAGTTACGTGATGACTAACAGGACATAAAAGACAATAGTTTTAATTGGTTTTAACTAATCAATGGGGCTGGAAAAAAGAGCAACATAATTGTCTTCTAACTAATCAACTAATTAAAACTTATGTTAACTTTCAAGATGACTGTATATTACAAAGTTAAAGTTACTTCGTAAATCTTAATTTTCAATGTTTGTCTAATCATCGGTCGAAAAATTAAGACAAGCTAAACGATTTAAAATATTCAATATTTTTGTAAATGCTAGTATTGTTATGTTGTGTAATTGGTCTGCTAATCATTAGTAGATAGAATTGTAGATGAATGAATTTTTGTCTCATATTCTTTGCATTAATTCTAAGCTTGTCAAGTTACTTCACACTTTTGTAATTATGATGAATGCTAATATATACTTCATCACTTGTTTATATTTTTAAGTCAGAAGTAGAAGAGACATTTAAAAGATTGTTGGCACACAAAGGAGTTATTGGGGCAATTATTGTAAGCTCAGATGGTAAGCATTATAAGTGATATTTAATAGTTCTACAAATCATTGATCCATTCGTTTTTATTGCAAACAACACTAGATATATGTGTAAATGTAAGCCTTAGTCTGAAAGTAGGTTATTTTCTGACTTGAAAACCTTTCATTTAATTAGCTAACCGTCATAAATCAAAACCTGTTTCCCAGAGTTATCGATAATTATGTTTGATTACTTATTTATTTAAATACAAAAATTGGTACGAAAGGATACCAAAATATATATGCGCCACACAGAGTAGTTATCATTTAATTTGTTTGTGGGTTGAAATATTATCTGAGTGCCCAAACAGAAGCAGATGGTTTTCTTAAGAGGCCACTCCCTGAACTCTTGACTTTGAGATGTAATCCACGAGGCAGTGAAACAACGTTAGATGCAGTCCCATGGAAACTCGTGACCGGGAATAGATTCGTACGCCATTTGTTCTCTCAGGATCCTGAAGCCCATATCCTCCATTGTTTAGGAGTCAGGGTTTTATATCTCTAGGTGGATCTTTCGTACTCACCAACTCGGTCCAAGCGCCGAAGATTCTTACCCCATCCTTAATTTTGTAAACAACACCCTCATCACGAAAAAACAGTGAGTACGTATGCGTGACCATATGAAAGCATTTGGAGGAGAGTGGGCCGTCCCTATCCCCAACCGTACCAGAGCATTTGGGGTCAGTCTTTAGAAATACAAGCGTTTTGATAACTTCTTATTTCTCCAAATGTTACATCTCATCGTGTTGCCGTCCACCCAGCTGAAATGGCTTGCGTTTTAACTACATATAATAAATTTAAATATACCAAAAACATTAATTACAGAATACAATGAATTCATATTTCACTTCAGCTACATGCACAATCTGAAATTTAAAAAAATGGATTACCCAACAATAACAAATAAAGTGTATAGAATGTGAATGTGAATATCGTTAGAAATTAAATGTTAATAGGCTTCTATAAATGCTGGGAGTGACAGTTATAGAATATGTTTTAGGATAGTTCTCATTACGTAAAAAGAGACAATTGAGTCGAACTCACTATATTGTAATTATCCTTAATTGAATAAGAAAATTAGTAAAACAAATCAATATTGTTGTCTTTTGCCACACTTATTCACACTTGACTTATTCGCCATTCCAAATATGACTTATACAATCTTAGCACTGTTTCGAACCAATGACGTATCGACTGGTATGAACAGTCTAGCGTCCTTTTGGGTTTTTTCCTCCTAGCCTTGCCAATCTTAGCCTCCGCAATATGAATCATATATTTAAAACATACTGGATTTATATACAAGCCGAACAGCATATCACACCATAAAGTAGAGAAGTGGTTGGGATTGTGGGAGACTGTAATTGATGAGTTAGGCATAACTTGAGAATGGTAAATCATATAATAATAGTCTATAGGTTAAAATAAGGCTTATATTAAAAGGAATATAGGTAAACATAATCTAGTTGCAGAATAATTATACAATAAGAATATATATTAGTCCACTAATAGTTCTTGGAAGTTACCCGTAATTTAATCTTCATTAGGATATAACAAACATTTTGTTTACCAAAACAGATGAAGGTCAGGTTAAAGCCTAACTACCTATGACTTCCACAACTTGTAATGATTTTCAGTCCGATTATTTATTGATTATTTTGAATTCATTTATTCTATCCACTTTGTGTTCCGTCTCAAGTTTGATAAACCCCACTTAATCAGAAAAGAATCTCACTAAACTGTATATTTACAATTAATTGATCGTTGAGTAAGTAGTGACCAACGTCACACACCTAAAGTCTTTCTTAGCACTGATCAAGTTGTAATTGTAAGTGGTAATATCTCTGACTGTGAAATTGGGTAACACGGGATCGAATCTGCCAAGGAGTATCAGTTCCTTCAAGATAACAAGTTTACCTTGTTGACGAGCATGAAACCTAAGTGAAGCAAAGTTCTTTGCAGACCAACACCTTACAGTCGAAGTTCATATTGGTTTAGATAATGTCCATCACCTAAATTGTTATATCTCGACGCGAATAATGAATAGTAACTGTTGGGATTCATTTATGGACTAATACCATACGTATATTTTTATTGTATGATTGTTAAGTAACTAAATAATGTATATTCATATTCCTCTTATTATAAGCTTTATTTTGATTTATAGACTATTATTATATGATTTACCATTCTCAAGTTATGCCTAATTCATCAATTACAGTCTCCCACAATTTCAACCACTTTTGACTTGATCTTGTACAAATGTTATTCTTTATTTTATGGAGTGGTATGCTGTTTGGCTCGTACATAAATCCAGTATGTTTTAAATATATGATTCATATTGCGGAGGCTAAGATTGGCGTTCTGGACTCAACTGGCAGGGCTAAGTAAGAAGAAGGACAGATGAAAACTCTAGACTGCTCGTACGGGTTTGTGCGTCATTGGTCTGGTCGATAAATAACTGTTCTCAAATTGGCGGTATCATTACGTTATATATTAATAGGGCACAAGGCCACAAGTTATAAATATTGCTCATTTCTAAACTCAAAATCATGCACAAATACTTCTAGTGTGAAATTACACTATACTTATTATTAGACCAATTACCTTTCTGTAAACTAGTTTCGGAAAGGAAAGTCTCTTCTTTGAATTATCTTTATTCTTCTTCAATAATACAATTGATCTCCTTTGTTATTTGGATTAATGTTTATTGTTCTTGTCATACAAACGTATTTTATCTGCTTTTCTAAGGGATCGCAGTAAGAACTTCCATGGATAACAGTACCACAAATCATTACTGTGGTCTTATTCAACAGTTAGTAGCAAAATCTCGTTCTGCCGTTCGTGATTTAGATCCATCTAATGATTTAACATTTCTGCGTATACGAAGTACTCGAAATGAAATTATGGTAGCACCAGGTAATTACTTTTCCTCATTTCATGTTTATTTATCTCAGTCAAGTGGTTTAGGCAGACATCAACAAACAAAAATTGTCTAGCTATGAATCTTTGTTTTCGCTACCTATGTTCATATTTTAATGCTATCTAATTTTATTTATTTATTTGAACACATAAGCATCAATAAGAGAGGGCACCAAATATATATGCGCCATACAATAACAATGAGGCCAGTTGCAACTATCATTGATTTGTATTAGGGTTATGATAATGCCCGGGTGCCCAAACCGAAGCAGATGGTTTCCTTAGGGGACCACACCCTGAACCCTTAACCCGAAGGTCTAATCCACAAGGCAGCGGAGACACTTTTATTTATTTATTTATTTAAGCACATAAATATTGGTACAAGGAAGCACCAGATAGATATGTGCCGCACAAATCTCATTTGATTTGCGTGAGGGCTGAGATACTGCCCAGATGCCCAAACTGAAGCAGTTGTTTTACTTAGGGGGCCACACCCGTAGACTTTGACCTAAACGTCTGATCCATAAGGCAATGGAGCATCGTAAGGAGATGCAGTCCCTTGGTAGCCGGTGACCAACGATTGATTCATACGCCAGTTTTTCCCTTTTAGAATCCTGGAGCCCATGTGCACGATTAGTTTGGAATCAGGGTTTTCCAACTCCCCTAGGTGGACCCTCCGTGTCCACCAACCCGGTTAAAGTGCCGGACATTGGCTTTTCGTCCTCTCAATTTCGTAGACAACAGTAATGCCACGAGAAGGTAGTGAGTAGGACTTCCCTGACAGAGGCTATAAACGCGTGGCCATGTGAAAGCATTTGGAGAGGGAGAGCGGACTTTCCCCACTCTCGGCCGTACCAGGGCATTTGGGGGTGGGACACTTTAGAAGATGCAGTCCCATGGTACACGGCGACTAACAATAGGTTCATGCACCTTTCGTTCCCTCAGAATCCTGGAGTTTGTGCGCACTACATTGGTTTGTAATCAGGATTTTCTAACTACCCTATGTGGACCCTTCATATCTAATTAAGATATTGCGATCGTGTTTTCCCGATGTTTTCTGCTCTACTGATGTTGGTAATATATTTATGCTTTACTTTATTTGATGACAAATTATCTATTTGATAAATTATCAGCAAACATGATATCATTATGAAACCACTTTCTTTTTAAATACCGATAATTAAATATTCATTTGACTTAAGCTGTCATTGAAAATAGCATCACTTTATATATTTATTTATTTAAACACATAAATATTGGTACAAGGAAGCACCAGATACATATGCGCCATACAAATTCCATTCGACTTGCTTGAGGGCTGTGATACTGCCCAGGTGCCCAAATTGAAGCAGGGCATCACTTTATAAAAATTAGTCGTTAGTTAACTAGTTTCATTGGATAAATCCACTACCGATAAAGACATTCAATTTATGTTTGTTGATATTCTGAATTATTAACATTAATTTTAGTCCATATCACGGATTAGTCTTAGATAAATATTGAAAATCAGTAAGCATTGAACAAATATTTATATGTAGGATGAGTCTCCTCTATGTGGGTTTATAATCACGACTCCATGGGAGATCAAACCCCGGAGCCTTCAAGTCTCGATACTCTATCGGATTATATTTCATGTAGTCACTTTTAGGAAGATATGTTACTTAATTTTTTTCCCATCCGCTTACTCAAGGACTTTTTTCCACCTTTTCTTATTTTGTTGACTTAGATCGTGATTACAGTCTCATCGTTATACAAGAAACAAGTACAGAATAAAATGTTTTATTGTTTATATGGTTCTAGATCTTTGAACAAAACAAATAATATTTATGCTTAATAACTAACGGTAACTTGACTTTATGGTTTTCGGTGTTATTATTCGTTTTTTTTGTAACGACTGTTATTATCATTCCGAAGAATTAATAAAATGGTCGGCTAATAGCGTCACAACTAGATTTTCTTGCTTTGTGTTTGCATCTTTTTTAGTCTAGACTATCGCAACCAATTGTTGGAGACTCTGAGTGACATGGTTCAGAATCGATCACAATGGTGTTGGTGTATACACTCTTTGTCTTCCCTTAAACCTTGAGATTAAAATGGCTTCATAACTTTCTTCCTTCCTGTACTATATCCTTACATGCAACCTATCTTTCATATACTACCACCACTAAATTAACTACTTCTATGAATCCGGTGTTGATCTTGTTGTACTAATGAGGTATGACAACTTGGACTGATGCATAAATATACCTGGTCCTAAGTTGTAGCTGACTGACTCGTACTGTACTGATTTACCTACTAATATTTCTAGGACAAACTTGATAAGACATTTACATGTAGGTAAGCACTAGTGTTGTATTATAACAGTTTATCAAATATTATGGTACAGTGGTGGGTGAGTAGTCAGAACGTTCTACTTTTAATCACTAAGTCGTCTCAGGTTAGATACTCTAACGTACTTACTCCAGTTCTGGCAACTAGATAGTTCTACTATCCCTTATGTTTAGAGTGCAACTCAAAGTCAAGTACATGAATATGTATCTAATAGATCAGTCAAGAAATATCTATATTCCGACTCATATTCTCTCTGTACACTTTTGTTGCTACTCAGTTCATGCTCTTAAATACCACTGGATTTCAAAAAATGGTTCGTAAGTTGGAAATCACTTGTTATTCATCAATAGTATGTAATATTTATAATTTGTTTCTTCATTGTCAGGTAGTCATCACGTATCAGAAATGAGTATTGTAAAGAAATAAGTGTTCATCAAAGTAGAACATTTTTCACTAACCATTATTATGCTTCTTATAAGGTCTCGTAACATAGTCGTCATATAGTTTGTCTTTTAAAATACCTATCAGACGAAGTAACCACATATTTCACCTATCAAACACATACAACGTAAAAGCTGGCAAATGTGTATATCAGTGCATGTTCCCACACCCCATTAGCAAAAAGATGAAATTGTCATGACATAGCTGAGAGTAGTAAAGATAGTAACAATTGGTAGTAATAGGAAAGTACATGCGTAGAAGATATGACTAGTGGAATAAAATTTATAAAAACAAAGCACCTGTTAGATCACAAACGAATTTGAACCATTTCATTCGAGATTTCTAACTAATGGTTGCAATGGTCACGCGGACCCCAACCACGTAGGTTGCGCCTACTTACATTGACCAAGCTAACAATCAGTCTCTTCATGGATTGATGTAATGTATACACGCTTCACCACGAACAAAGAAACTGTAGAGATGGGAACAGTAAGGAATTCAATAAAGCGGATTAGTGTATCTACACCACACGGAGGTTATATTCGAATTATATAACTCGAAATCTTCAATCATCAGTAAGATTAGTTTACATATTCCAACATAGAAAATGCCCTTCGAATATATAAATCAAAGGTTGCTTATTAACCAATAGTCGGAAGCACAACTTCTAAGAAGTTGTTTCGTTTTCCAGCGGATATTCAATTCTAGATGCGATAGCTAAATTTAAAAATAGAGTGAACAATGAATTGACTAGAGATGGAGGGTAAAGTCGACTGTTAGCGAAAGTGTACAGCTTATGATACTTACAGAATCCCAACGCTGTACCAAATTTCACGTTGGTAATTACTAGTTAAACTCTTACAAGCTCATATCTACCTGAAGTACTCTGTTAATCTGATGTATTTGGTTGGTTAACCACAGCATATTAGTCATTCTATCACCAATCATAACGTATAACCTGGCACATTGGTAGATCGATTCAAGTTGCTACAGCCCAACTAAGTATAATATTAGTTACATTATCAGTGGTAGTAGAAAAAGATTGGGTATAGAAAATATACATAAAGAAGATACAGATTTGTGGATTCAAAACAGATTTTGAAAGATAGCTAGGAAAGCGTAAGGTTAGCTCACTAAGGCTTGCCGCTCTTAAGGTTAGCTATAGTTTTTTTTAACTTCATTGATTATAGGGTGGTGGTTATATTGGCATTCCATCCCGGTTGTATAGTAATTAGAGACCACCTAATTTCTTATCCCACGTATTCAACCCGTCTCTCAAATCTCCTATAACTAATCCTTATTTGAGAACACTTTCATATCTTAAATTATCAGCAACTGGTATTTACCATAAACTGTTTGGCTATTAAAGTCTTTATAATCATAGGAGCGGATATCTGATGATGACTTTTCTCGGAATCGTGTACAATAGTAACAATTTAGTATTTATGTCCTGTAAATAGTTTCATTTTACTACTTATGGCATGTTGCATTATTTTCTCTAATCCGCTATACCGAACCTACATTCAATTATTGACAGTTACAAGTTGTTAGGGTACTTACAATAACCTATGTCAACAAGAAAGTGAGTCCAAGCACTCGCAGTTGTCATATGGAACACATAACTTTTGTATCAGTGAATGCTAGTGACCGATTTCATCACTGGCCAATTACACTGTTTATTCTCCGTAAAACAGTAAGCAGTGTCCAGCCTAAGTGCTCGCCATACTACGGTGCTTAAATTATCGTAAACCTAACTGTTGTCAGACATACTATATCTACTCATATTCCTATAGTAGGGTATGTCTGTTTTCGCTCACTATCCCCAGACAAATCATATAGAACTAATATCTAGAATAGTAATTCATCTTAGAATCTTACTATCTATCTACTCTGCTTAACTGGTTATTTCTACTGTAAGGCAGCCTGTCAAATTGATTGGTAAGTTCATCTAACCTAATTAAAAATCTGATTATGCGCGATTGTAGAAATATCCTTGAAATACTGTGTTTAAGTTCAATCAGTGGATGAATACTAGGCATCAACGATTGTTATGGGCATATACGTTAAGAAAATATTACTTTGCCACGTGTATTCGAAGTTTGGCATAATACCTTTACAGTCGAAGTATGCCAACCCAGTCAAGTCAGAAATGACGGGGTTCGAAGATATATTTAGAAAATTATCGATATGTAGAGAAGCGTTTGGTCTAAGCTGGCTAGCGCTTGCTGGAGATGCGAAGTAAGGCGTATCCACTCATGATCTTGTGTGGATGCGTGACCGAGCGTCTTCAGCCAGGATGTCTCCAGTAAAACTAACGAGGTCAGCATCATTGTTGAAGATATTCGGAACTACGTAATTTGAGGACCTATTCACAGCTACAGCTATATCCATCATAATCGTTGACGTGGTTTAAGCTATTAGGATTTGATAGATGAACCTATTCTACGGGTATAAAGTTGGACTGTTAAATTATCCTCAAGAAATTCTTGATATTTTCCAGAAACTCAAAGCAATGTGTAAGAATAAGTAATTTTTTAACTGGGGATAGAACTTGACAATAGGAGTAGAGGTAAAAAGAATGTATTGGAAAATGTTCTCAAAAGCATTCTTAGGAACTTCCACTCCATATTATAAAATCTTACTAAAATTAGACAGATGAAGTACTTGCATATTTCTTCCCGTTTCTCTTTACGCTCATCAGCAAGCACTTTGTCTATACAATTAAAGTACCTAATTTTGATGTCATCACTGAAGTTAACAACAGTTAATATCTCTTTCACTTACCGTGAAATTGATTTTCCTAGCATTTATATGGACTCACAATGATCAATCAAAGACTTCTTGACCACAAATCTAGACATAATTTTGGAGTTGTTTTGGTGAAACTATAATTTATGGATGACCTTTGAGCGATGCCAAAGTGACCTTGTGAGTGTCTACTTACTTACTAGGAATAAATGAGGGTTATAAAACAGTCAAAAGAATAAAGATTATGGTTCACATATGATGGTTCGGGTTAGGAATTAGATTTACAGTTTTTCATCACCAACTGACATCAGCTAAAATGCTGAAACGCTCTTTGACCCGATGGATGAGCGTATTTCGCGTCAAAATCCGAGACCTTTTATCTTATACCTGATTGGTTCGTCCATGAATTATAGTCTCGCTGTTGTTTTTCACTGGCCAAGACTTGAAAAATAGAACGGCAAAATATACTGAGATGTCAATGTTAACCTAGTTTCAAGGAATTCTCACATTTTTGATGTGCTTCTTTAAGTGTTTTTGTGGAAAGTTGAGATAAACAATTGTAGATTTTAAAGTCACTGATAAGTGAATTTTGCTTCAAGCTCAATGTTGTTGTTTTATCTTCTCTATGTCAATGTATTGTGTTTAGCCAGATTAGCGGTTTTTCAAAGAAAATAATTTGTTGATTAAAAAAGTTTCGATTTATACTACTTCTTTGTTAAACATTCCTCGGAAAATTCCATTAGGGCCCAGAGAACACTTGAAAACATTTTATCCAATCAGTATCTAACAAAAACTCTTTAGAAAGATCTAGAAAATGAAGAGTCACATTTGTGATTACTTGTTTACTTACGCTATCACTATGGTTGTCATAATTGTAGAAGCTCAAGGTCGTTTGTAGTACTGCAAACAACCTCGTTCTGTACACTGACTAATCCTGAGGTAGTGCGTCCTACTCCCACTTTTCTCTGTTTCTATCGCATTCAAGTCGCTATGTTTACATGGACTGTGATTATTAGAAGCATCGAGGAAAAGGGATCGGTTCATTTGACGAGAATCATCACGTTTGAGTTTTCATGCAGAATAATATGTAAAAACTTAACCGAATTAGGTTCTGTGTATTCAATTGAATTCAGATAGATATTGTCATTTCAATACTGTTAGTTTTGTCTTTTTTACGATGGTTGTCATGTGAAATATCGATGTCCGATGAAACAGTTACGAAATATGTTCATATGCACTGAAAGTAAGAGATTTTAACATTTTGAATGCGTTTTTCATCTCAGTATGATCTAGTTTGCACTAACAGTAATTTGATGTTATTCTTCTAAGCAGGGTAATAATACGATGATATTATCACTTTGTTCGACATAGAAATACTTGAAATACAAGACAACTTTAGTTACTGCGATGAAATGTATCAAGAGCTA